TACATACCTAGGATCTATTCTTGAGGCAAACCTCTCCTGTGACAAAATGGCATCCAATGTAATAAAAAAAGTCAATCAAAGAACTAGATTCCTATACCGGATCTCCTCTCTGGTAAACAAAAACACCCTGAAAACTCTGGCAGGAGCACTCATTCAAGGGTACTATGACTATGCTTGCACGTCATGGTACCATAGCACCTCCAAGGCGCTAAAAATAAAACTTCAAACATCGCAAAATAAACTGGTCAGACTACTGCTTGACCTTTCATCTAGAACCCACCTCACCTCTGCCCACTTTGACAACCTAGGATGGCTTAGAGTAGACGACAGAGTACAGCTACTTGCAATGGGCCTGGTCTACAAGATCCACTACACCTCTATGGTACCCATGTACATGTCAAAATTCTTCCCAAAGGTCAAGGAATACCATGATCATAACACCAGAGGGAGCTCCACAAATCATGTAAAACCCAGATTTGGCACAAAAAAAGGGGAATACACGTTTCGCAATTATGCCACATCAAGGTGGAACGCTCTTCCCACAACTGTAAAGGAAAGTAAAACTATACTTACCTTCAAAACCTCTCTTAAAGAGCACCTTCGGGGGAAAGCATTGCAAAACTGGCCCCGGTAATGGTACAAATCTCAACCTGTCGTACAATGGACAGCTTCCCCCCCCCATCTATGTATATACTCGCATTTTAGACTCTGTTACTAACTGTATATCTGTAGACTTGGTATGTCTTAAATGTCCGGTTAGGATGTATTAGAACGAAATCTAAAATGAAAATTGTAAATAAGCCATCTGTATGTAAAATACCACCTGTATGTAAATTGTAAATAAGCCATCTGTATGTCAAATATGTCTTATATGTCTTAAATGATATGATGAATTGGAAATGGGGGACCCTGATGTAAACAAGACGAAAGTCTTTCTCTGGTCTGCATCCCCTTAACAATTGTATGTTTTGAGCTGTACTGTACTGTACCCAATATACAAGCTGTTAATAAACTTTTCAATCAATCAATCAATCAAGGCACACCTATTGTGCAAAATAGCCCTTATAACACGTGTTATCACTCATATCATGTAAAATATCTGTAAATGTGCATAATTATTTACTAATGCCAAATAAAATGTGACAAAGACAACTATATTACTCGTGAAATATTTATTTACGAAATATTTCAGAAATTAATTTGAAACTTTATCAAATTAGGCTTCATCAAAGCAGCAACACACTAATTTAAACCAGAGAGGTCACAAAATAAAAAATTGTGGAGGATCAGGCTTTGGTGGTCGGCTCCCATCTCGGCGCACAGCTGGGAGAAGAGATTTCAGGGGCCTTGATTTGATGTAATTCACCATCTGCACAGCCTGATTCAGCACCTCAGTCAACTCCGGGGGCTAGTGAGTTATCCGAGCGGCCCACATCGTCCGACCGAAAATAATTATTTTTTAATTATATTGCAATAATAACGTATGGTTGTCACAAAATCCCACGGCACACCCGGACTTGCCTCACGGCACACCGTTTGGGAACCACTGTTAGGACAGTAAACCAACAATACCCTTTAAAACTGGAGAGATTAAAAAATATGGATAAATAAATAAATAAATGTTAACTGGTGAAATAAGATATAAATGAACCAGCAAAAATCTTGCCTAGGGCAGCAAACTGGTCAGAACCGGCCCTGGTGTCATCCCCACAGCACCCCCCATTCGAAACATGTTCCCACGGCTATGCAAAAGAGGATTACTAGGGCCGAATGATCCCAGCAAGGAAGCCGAAATGTGTCGCTTTTTAGTCCTCATTACATGCAGCGTAGCTTTATTAGTCTTTTTGTGTTTTCTTAATGGTAGTTTTCCCCATTTTCATAGTTGTTTAGTTTTTCTGTGGTCATTTTGTGAGTCCTCTTAGTCAGTTTGAGTCTCTTAATAGCAATTCTGAGTCACATTATAGTCAGTTTGAGTCTCTTCGTGGTCATTTTAAGTCGCTTTTTAGTCTTTTTAAATCACATTATAGTCAGTTTGAGTCACTCTATAGTCATTTTAATGGCGCATTTCCACTGCAGCACGGTTTAAGCGTGCCGTGCCAAACCCGGCCCGTTTTTCTTTGCTTTTCCACTAGGGCTACTTTTACGGTTAGTAAAAACCATGAATTAATGCTTTGACAAGTCTGCAGACAGACGGCAGGCGAAGAACCTTTTAAAATGCGTGTTTTCTGAATGGAGACCGGCTAAGCTACGTAAGGAAGTTGTTGCACATGAGTTTTGGTCTTAATATGCTCAATATGCAGTAGAAGTACCACAAGAATATTAATTCTCCCATAATAACACCTAACAAATGTGGTCTACTCTTATGTAACAAGACATGAAACTACAAGTGGTATTTGTGTCAAAAGAACTTAAAATCAGGTATTTCTAACTCAGAATATGTTCACTAATAAGCTAGTAGTCTGGCTCTAATATGCATGTTAGTTAACAGCTGGTTGATGGTGAATATGTGTACCTTAATAACACTTATCATGAACTAGGAAATATTGAAAACATGGGAAATAATCTTTAATATTTCAAAATAAGTTGACAATATCTTTGAAAATCCTCCAGTCACGTTACCTCACCAAAGAGAGTGTTTGAATGTACTCTTTTGTAACCCCTCTCTCTTCCTCTCCTCCCCTCTTCCTCTGTGCAGGGAGGCGAACTTTAAGAACTTCACCCTCCTGCAGCTGGACGAGGAGTTTTCTCGCGGACGGGGCCTAGACGTCGGGGCTCGAGCCTGGAAAGGAGGAAACGTTCTGCTCTTCTTCTGCGACGTCGACATCTACTTCACCGCCGACTTCCTGAACTCCTGCAGACTCAACACGCAGCCTGGTGAGACTAACTATAACACTTTAGACATTTAAAAGACTCACAGGCAGAGAGGGCAACAGTACACACATCCTTTACTCAAGTAGAAGTACAGATACTCGTGTTTAAAAATACTCTGGTGAAAGTAGAAGTACTGACTAAACTTCTTTACTCAAGTAAAAGTAAAGAGGGCTTTGAAATGTACTTCAGTAAAAAGTACCCATAACTAGCAGCTGTTTTAAAGAGTACCTGACCTCCCTTTATATTAATAGAACAATAATGTCATTGTTAGCTAATGAATGTTTCCATGCTGAACAACGGCAACATGACAACGTTTTCATTGGTCCCTCTTCTTTAGAGAAGACCAGGAAATGATGGATACACGGATCGTGTTCAAATCAATAGGCACGCAATGACTCTAAATAATAATGATCACGCCACCAAACACACATTCAAACTAAAGGAACCAGCCTGTTTGGGAAATGTGAGAAGTAGAAAGTACAGGTATTTGAGTTCAACATGTGAGAAGTAGAAAGTACAGGTATTTGTGTTCAACATGTAAGAAGTAGAAAGTACAGGTATTTGTGTTCAAAATGTAAGAAGTAGAAAGTACAGGTATTTGTGTTCAAAATGTAAGAAGTAGAAAGTACAGGTATTTGGGTTCAAACTGTAAGAAGTAGAAAGTACAGGTATTTGTGTTCAACATGTAAGAAGTAGAAAGTACAGGTATTTGTGTTCAAACTGTAAGAAGTAGAAAGTACAGGTATTTGTGTTCAACATGTAAGAAGTAGAAAGTACAGGTATTTGTGTTCAAACTGTAAGAAGTAGAAAGTACAGGTATTTGTGTTCAAAATGTGAGAAGTAGAAAGTACAGGTATTTGTGTTCAAAATGTAAGAAGTAGAAAGTACAGGTATTTGTGTTCAACATGTAAGAAGTAGAAAGTACAGGTATTTGTGTTCAAAATGTAAGAAGTAGAAAGTACAGGTATTTGTGTTCAAAATGTAAGAAGTAGAAAGTACAGGTATTTGTGTTCAAAATGTAAGAAGTAGAAAGTACAGGTATTTGTGTTCAAAATGTAAGAAGTAGAAAGTACAGGTATTTGTGTTCAAAATGTAAGAAGTAGAAAGTACAGGGATTTGTGTTCAAAATGAGGCTGAGTCAACAAGGATATAGTAACCCACATCATGTCCACCAATATTCCTTGTTACATGAGGAAGTAGGCCACCCTTATCCACAAAACTACACAGCTCAGGCTGCATTAACTCAGTTACAAAGCTGTATAACATGAGCACAAACAGCACAACTTCAGTCGACTCCATCTCCATCATGTCTGAGGTCGGAAGGTAAACAAGAAAACAACAGCCGCCTAATGTACAGCGAGTGGGGGGGCGTCGCAGTATACGCGGGAAGTTTTTCTTCTTCTTCTTCTCTTGTTTTTTGTAACAACTTTAAGGTGCATACCGCCACCTTCTGTACTCGCCGTGAAGTGGTTTGTGGGCTGCCAGTAAACCCAAAGCAGAAGAAGAAGAAGTGACGTCAGCGGCTCATTTGCGTAATCTTCCCTCAGAGAAAAGTACTCCGGTGTGAACGCCATCACAACACTCTTTAAAGCTCCAGTGTGGCTAACAATGATCAACAAATCAAATTATTGTTTAACGACAGGCCTTCTGGTTGCTTATTGTATATGACGACCAATCATTAAATCAGGATGTCTCTTAATGTGCCATATTTCTACAGTAAAAGCTGAGTATCATCATGCCTATTTGTACCATGCATTTTAACAATTTTAACCCGCTGGAGTCTAAAGGGTAATTTCTGGATTCTTGGATATCACCTTTTAAATGTAATTGTTATAACATGCCACATATCAAAATGTTCAGGACAATCTCTGGTCTTGCTAGAACTGTAAGTAGTTCATGTTAGAGCACTGTGTGATGAGATAAGATGAGGAGCTCCAACAAGCCGTTTAGGACAGAGAGTGAATACACATACTATACAGAGATGCTGTATGAGAAACCAATGTGAGTTTGGAAAATTGCACAATATAAATGTATTTTAGTAGACCTCAACAATGGAATTATGATCAGTGGAAATGGCCATGACATGGGACCTTTAAGTAGATTTCAATGGAAAGATAATCAACAAGCACTTAATTCTAAATTAGTCTTTATTACTCAGAGTGACACAAAACATGTAAATCATAACAGTGAATATAAATCCTTATGTGAATGGAATCCAGAACTAAATGAACAGCCCTTTTAACAACAAAGAAGAGACCTAATTTAGAATAACACAAGTGAATAAGTGCATATTAAACATTTCATAATAACACGAGTGAAGAAGTGCATGGTTAATATTTCATAATTTGAACAAACTCAGTGTCAGAGTGCTTTCTTATTTACACATTGTGCTGATTAAATCCTTAGTGACACAAACTTAAGACTAAAACATGTATAGGTTAATTAAATAATACAATAAATAAAGAAATAAATAACATTAAAAGGAGTTACACCCAGTACTGTTTGGTGTGCACGGCGGGGCGGTGGTGCTTGTGTTTGTGCACGTTGTTCTGTTTCACGTAGCACGGGTCGTAGTAATCCCACTCCAGAGCTGAGGACAGGATGCCGTTAGAGAGGCCGTCGCTGTCAGCAGAGAGGATCCTCAAGGACACTCCTGGGGAGGAAGCAGGTACTTAAGTCACTACTTTACTTCGTTTTTTTGTTTAAAGGTCACCTATTATGCAAAATCCACTTCTTCATGTCTCTTCTACATCAACATGTGTCCCCTCTTCTTCATGTCTCTTCTACATCAGCATGTGTCCCCTCTTCTTCATGTCTCTTCTACATCAACATGTGTCCCCTCTTCTTCATGTCTCTTCTACATCAACATGTGTCCCCTCTTCTTCATGTCTCTTCTACATCAGCATGTGTCCCCTCTTCTTCATGTCTCTTCTACATCAACATGTGTCCCCTCTTCTTCATGTCTCTTCTTCATCAACATGTCCCCTCTTCTTCATGTCTCTTCTACATCAACATGTGTCCCCTCTTCTTCATGTCTCTTCTACATCAGCATGTGTCCCCTCTTCTTCATGTCTCTTCTACATCAACATGTGTCCCCTCTTCTTCATGTCTCTTCTACATCAGCATGTGTCCCCTCTTCTTCATGTCTCTTCTACATCAACATGTGTCCCCTCTTCTTCATGTCTCTTCTACATCAGCATGTGTCCCCTCTTCTTCATGTCTCCTCTACATCAACATGTGTCTCCTCTTCTTCATGTCTCTTCTACATCAACATGTGTGCCCTCTTCTTCATGTCTCTTCTACATCAACATGTGTCCCCTCTTCTTCATGTCTCTTCTACATCAACATGTGTCCCCTCTTCTTCATGTCTCTTCTACATCAACATGTGTCCCCTCTTCTTCATGTCTCTTCTACATCAACATGTGTCCCCTCTTCTTCATGTCTCTTCTACATCAACATGTGTCCCCTCTTCTTCATGTCTCTTCTACATCAACATGTGTCCCCTCTTCTTCATGTCTCTTCTACATCAACATGTGTCCCCTCTTCTCCATGTCTCTTCTTCATCAACATGTGTCCCCTCTACTTCATGTCTCTTCTACATCAACATGTGTCCCCTCTTCTCCATGTCTCTTCTTCATCAACATGTGTCCCCTCTTCTTCATGTCTCTTCTACATCAACATGTGTCCCCTCTTCTTCATGTCTCTTCTACATCAACATGTGTCCCCTCTTCTTCATGTCTCTTCTACATCAACATGTGTCCCCTCTTCTTCATGTCTCTTCTACATCAACATGTGTCCCCTCTTCTCCATGTCTCTTCTTCATCAACATGTGTCCCCTCTTCTTCATGTCTCTTCTACATCAACATGTGTCCCCTCTTCTTCATGTCTCTTCTACATCAACATGTGTCCCCTCTTCTTCATGTCTCTTCTTCATCAACATGTGTCCCCTCTTCTTCATGTCTCTTCTTCATCAACATGTGTCCCCTCTGTGTAAAGAGACTCTGAAAGTTTCAGGAACAAAGATTCTCTCTCTTTTTGATCCATTTTTATAAAACCTGTCTGAAAATGAGCTGATCAGATTTTGGCCACTTTATGATGTCATAACGATGTTTTGTCTTGTGTAACCATTAGCCAATCAGCAACCAAGGTAACCCCCCCCCCCACCTTATCACCTGAATCTCCTCCTAGAGCACCATTGAGTTCTTTCTAACCAAATCTCTCTCAGAGGGGCGTGGGGAGGGGCTCCTTATTTTCATCTAAAGTAACAGACAGAGAATCAGCACTTTGGAAACAGGGCTGAAACAGAGGGGATTATGGGATGCTGCAATGATCTGTTTGGTGTTTCAGCCAATCAGAGACAGGCTCTGAATATATCTGAGACCTGTGATATATTGATGAAGAACAGTATAATAGGGGACCTTTAATATCTTAATGAAGTAGACAGATCTGTACCTGCACTGGCTCCGAAGTCGCTGTCCAGTCCCGGTCCGACTGCAGATGAGTTCAGACCCGACTCCTCTGACGGAGTGTTACTGAACTCACACTCCATCTCCACCTTATCAAACACCAGCACGGCTACACCTGGACTCAGGTCCCTCAGCATCTGGTGAGTGCTGCTGCGACGCAGGTGACCCTCATGTTGGACCTCCTGCTGGGCGAAAGGAACAACGTTTTACTTTCAACTGGAGGTCAGATTTGGGGTAGACATCCATTTTTTATGAGGAATAATCTGACACTTCTTTACAGATTTCTTGCCCACTAACTTTTATTGCAGATGACAAATCATTGATTTAAAGTGGACCTATCATGCTATATTTGAATAATATAGTGTAGGACCATACCTATATAAGGCATATTTACACCTTTTTTTTTTTCAAAATACCAAACAGATCATGCATTTTAGCCATGCCTCATTTTGCTCAATTTGACAATTTCTAGCTCTGTTTTTGCAAGGGCTGATTCAGTGAGAACAGCACCATCTACAGGCCTGGCATATGTACTACAGCGTCTCCAGCGCTTTCGAACGGCAATGGCCGTGGCTGTCTCCTCCTGATTGGTGGAGTTGGCCCAATAGCCGTAGCGCCACCGTCCTGACGTCAGGACAGTGATCAAATCTGGATCAGTTTTTATCAGATCCGTTGCAGCCCCTTTTTTAGAGATTTGGGTATGGAGGAAAATAGAGAGGGTTGTGTTTTCTGACACTTGTGGTGCGAACGCCCTGTCACCCCAGGTCCGGAGCTTTGTCCTGATGGGCTGCAGTAGGTTAGCTTCAGCAGACCTGAGGCGACGGGTGGGGGTGTGTCGTTGGATGAGGTCACAGAGGTAGGGGGGGGGGGGGGGGGGGGGGGCAAGGTTGTTGAGGGCTTTGAAAGTGAAAAGTAATATTTTAAAAGGCAATGCAGTGTTTGATGGGGAGCCAGTGGAGGTCATGGAGGATAGGGGTGATGTGGTCGGAGCGTCGGGTGGAGGTGAGCAAGCGGGCAGCTGAGTTTTGGACATATTGAAGTTTTTTTAGTATGAATGCAGGTGATCCAAAAAGTATGCTGTTGCAGTAATCCAGTCGGGATGTTATAAAGGCATGGATCAGAGCATTAACATTGAAACACTTCAAGAAGTCCCTACAAATCCCAACATCACTGTGTGGGAATTGGTTTCCGATTATTTAATGATACTTTGATTAGAAATATAGCAAATAAAAAAAAATAGCAGAACTAAAGCAAATCTTTTGAAAGCAATTTTGATATTGGATTTATAACTTTTATTTTGTTGCCTTTTTTCACACAATTTTACATTTATTATCATGTTTTTTTTAATTATATGTTTTGTTCTGTTTTTGTTTCTTCTCCTCTGAAAACCATGTTATATTCATTATCAGTGCAGCTTTATTTAACATGGTGACTTGTCTCTGTTGTGTTTTGTTGTCATGCATTTTCCACATTGTTTAGATGCGTGCTAAGGGTAAGAGTAGCATCACATAACATGCATGGGCTTCAGACGTTTTTGATGCATATCCTCTAATCCAGGGGTAGCCAACACGGTGCCCGCGGGCACTTGGTCGCCCGCAGGGGCAACGTGAGTCGCCCGCGGGGCATGTTCTAAAAATAGCTCGCCAAGCAAATCCAAAATGTATAAAATACACAAAACAAAAAAGGAAATGTAATTAAAAGAATCTACCCTATGCATAAACTAAACCTAAATCATAGCGAACTACTTACTACACCTCTATATCTATCTAACACCCCTCCTCCCCCCACCCCCACAATGAATATCTACCAATCACGTTCTTGCTTGATTTGCGGGACCAGCGTTGCAGTCGGGAAGAAAAGCAATGTGGCACCTCCCCGCTGATTTTCCTTCTGGCAGAATCTACACAACACATCAGCCCCATTGAACAGCCTATCATGCAGCCTATACAACACATGGGGGGCAGAGCTTTACTCTGTGTGTTGCAACTTGCATATGTATTGCACTTGACGCACACACGCATGGCGTAATTTCCACCTGGGACAGGGGGGAAATGTCCCCCGCTCTTTTCGAAATCCCGTTTGTGCCCCCCCCACTTTAAAAATGTGTTTATTATTTTTTTTTAACGCAAGCCGTCGATCGCCACGGAGGAGCTCACAGCCTCTGTGAGCGAGCGAGACAGAGAGAGAGAGCGAGCGAGAGCGAGAGCGAGGGAGAGCGAGAGCGAGGGAGAGCGAGAGAGGGAGAGCGAGAGAGCTAGGGAGAGCATACCTTTATCTATTTAATATAGATAAAGTAAGAAATCATTCCAATGTGTACTATAGGACAGTAAAACAATCAAAAAACTGTTTGAAAGGAGAGTGATCAGTAAAATAAGCATACATAAAAAGAAAAAATGCTAACTAGGTAACATAAGATAAGAATAAATCAGTTTAAATGATTTGTTATTGGTTGTGATCATATTCTAAAGATGTTTGGTTTATTGAAAAGTATACAGCTCTCTTTCATCTGAGTGTTGAGAGCTGTATCCATCAATTCATGTTGTGCTCAAAGTGCACCAGATTGATGCATTTCACTTCAACATTAAAAAATAATCTTCCCGGGGGTGCATGCCCCCCGACCCCCCCTAGAGGAGGTGAGGTCCCCCCTGGAGGAGGTGAGGCCCGTCCACCCCCAAATGAAGCAGGTTAAAAATAATTAGATTGCATACATGTTCTTTTAGTAAACACTGAAAACGGGTCCCACAGACCCAAACAGCAAACAAAGGTTAAAGGTCAGCATATAATAATGTTGAAATGTGCTAAATATATACACTGCAAAAAAAAAAGAAAAAAAAGAGGAGTAAAAGTAGCTCCCGACTTGTTTTATTTTTTAAAAGTAGCCCTCACCCTAAAAAAGGTTGGTGACCCCTGCTCTAATCATTCAACCTGCAATACTCCATAATACTTACAGTGTCCCTTCCCTCAGGACAGAGGTGGGAACGGAAGTAATGGAGTACAAATACTTCGTTACTGTACTTAAGTACATTTGTCTGGTATCAGTACTTTACTCCACTACTTATTCTTCTGACGACTTTTTACTTTGACTTCTTACATTTTCAACACAAATACCTGTACTTTCTACTTCTTACATTTTGAACACAAATACCTGTACTTTCTACTTCTTACATGTTGAACACAAATACCTGTACTTTCTACTTCTTACATTTTGAACACAAATACCTGTACTTTCTACTTCTTACATGTTGAACACAAATACCTGTACTTTCTACTTCTTACATTTTGAACCCAAATACCTGTACTTTCTACTTCTTACATTTTGAACACAAATACCTGTACTTTCTACTTCTCACATGTTGAACACAAATACCTGTACTTTCTACTTCTTACATGTTGAACACAAATACCTGTACTTTCTACTTCTTACATGTTGAACACAAATACCTGTACTTTCTACTTCTTACATGTTGAACCCAAATACCTGTACTTTCTACTTCTCACATTTCCCAAACAGGCTGGTTCCTTTAGTTTGAATGTGTGTTTGGTGGCGTGATCATTATTATTTAGAGTCATTGCGTGCCTATTGATTTGAACACGATCCGTGTATCCATCATTTCCTGGTCTTCTCTAAAGAAGAGGGACCAATGAAAACGTTGTCATGTTGCCGTTGTTCAGCATGGAAACATTCATTAGCTAACAATGACATTATTGTTCTATTAATATAAAGGGAGGTCAGGTACTCTTTAAAACAGCTGCTAGTTATGGGTACTTTTTACTGAAGTACATTTCAAAGCCCTCTTTACTTTTACTTGAGTAAAGAAGTTTAGTCAGTACTTCTACTTTTACCAGAGTATTTTTTAAACACGAGAGTATCTGTACTTCTACTTGAGTAAAGGATGTGTGCACTTTTGCATCAGGACTCACCGTGGGAGAGTTCGGCGGCACCAGGTTCACTCTGGTCTCGGCCTCAGACTCAGACTCGCTGGACTGCGGTAACACCGGAGCGCTTTTACACCACCGCTGAGTCGCGGTGCTTTGTGACCGGGGGTGGAGGTGCATTCTCGGGCTGAACTCCGCCGCAGAGGAGGGGCCCCGGATGGAGCTCGGTGCCCTCAGAGACCCTGTGGCCCCATCTGGCCTCAGGAGCCGGATCTCCACCCCACCACCGACCCTCTCCCTGGACGAAACCCGGGATGAGGTGACCGGGTGGGGTATGGGCTCGGATAAAGACAAATAGGCTCTCCTAACGTCCTGGAGAGCGGGGAAAACCCCCCCAGAGAGCCTCCTGGGTCCCTGCAGGGAGCACGACTCCAGCAGCATCTCCTCCCCGTCCCCCTTCTTCTGGGACAGGATCAGGAACTTGTAGCCCAGAAACAGGCAGTTGAGCAGCAGCAGAACCACCACGCAGGGGATCAGCAGGAGGACCACCAGGGTCAGGTTAGTCACGGAGAAACCTGGCTCCAGATTTGGTGAGGGGCTCTGGATTATCTGAGACATGCTAACATTGCTGATCTCAATTGATGTGTCACGTCGCATCTGAGCACAGGTGTGTCAATCAATGTGGATTACTGTGTGTTCAAAGTGTTGTGGATCTGATAACATCTTGCAAAGCTGCTTCTCACACGCATACAGTCTCCAAATGGGGCTGTGGTCTTTCACCCTGCTTGTCTTCATTTTAGTTCACTCGTAAAGCTGACACTATGCAACTCGCACTCAGTTTGCAGCCACATGAATTACAGATCCACAGGTGTGTCCTATCATGTGCAGGATGTTTGGTGAGGCAGGGAATCACAGCTAGATGGCAGCAGAGAGTCAGACTCCTGCAGGGATTAGGTTCATCTCCTCAGGGATGCATTACTAAAGGGGTTTATATATTTGGAAAATGTCACTATACCAACCAAGAAAAGACTCAAAATGCTGCAGAGGGACATACAATGACTCACAACGACCATGAAGAACTCAATGAGACACAAAAGGACTAGAAAATATGTAAAATGACTGCAACACGAGGAACAAAGACCAAAAATACCTTCAATCCAGATTCTCTCTGCATAATTATAGTTACGCAAAAAAATACAGAATAACAATATTATTGCAATTAAAAAAAATTGATAGATAAATCAAATGTATCCTTAACCTTGTTCTGTTAAAATACAGACACAAAGTTATCATGTGAAATATTAACATATAAATAATGAATATTTTAAATATCAAGTTTATTGTGAAACATATTCCACTGCCTTTACCTGCAATCATTTCCTCATCACTGATTGGTCATTGTTAGCACATGATACCTGCCCAAATCTGCACACCTTTTCACTTTCACTTTGTGGAGAGAGAGAAGGTTTTACTCTTTAGTTTGCTCGTCCATTATAGTTTGACTGAGAGTGTTATTTATCCCTAATTCCTCAAGATGAACATATTTTCTTCCTTGCAGATGTTCACCAACCAAAGTGTGTGTTTTTTTTATATGAAGAAAAACTCCCGGGCTTCCAAATATCACTGATCCGATCCCCGTGATGTTCGGCAACCCTTGATCCTGAACCTCCAAACTAAGGTACATCTCAACACCCCAGAAGGACACAAGGCAACACAAATGCACAAAACAGAAAGAGGCTAAACTAGAAGATGGAGGTGTGTCTTCACGTGTTTTTATATTTGCATCTGAAGCTGCAGTGAGTTTCTGGCTGTTTGCACCTGTTGCCCACTGTACTACATAACTTTAAAGTGTGTGTATGTTTGGGGCCTTTTCCATGTTTGTTCCTATTGTTTTATAATGGGCGGCTGTGGCTCAGTGGATAGTGTGCTGGACTTCAAATCAGGGGATAGCAAGTTTGAGTCCCACTGCAGTCACCATGTCGTTGTGTCCCTGAGACACTTCACCCCATATTGCTCCTGTGGGGGTTGTCCACAGTATTGAGTATGTAAGTCGCTTTGGATAAAAGCGTCTAACAAGTGACATGTAATGTAATGTAATGTAATGATGTATTCATGCATCCTCTGCATTGTGCTTATGTGTATGGACTTGTGTAGTCCACTTATGCACTGCATGTTTATCACAAAGAAACAGAAAACAGAAGTATTTTTTCCCCTTTATTTTTCATGCTTTTCAAACATGTCCATCAGGTAATAATAATACATCCTTTCAGATTATATACAAACATTTCAAATAATTCAATAGAACATTTGACATATGAATCTCTGTTAGAGACAACTTTTTTGCATTTTGTACACAAAGTAGATCCTTGTACACAAGTATATATTTTTGCTATTGTAATAAATCAATGCAAAAGATCCGTCATATGAGCACCATATAACTACAGTTAGTTCTGTTTCAGCTCTTACGGAAGTCTATACAGACTTGAATAGCACACTGGCATCCTGCTGTAGGTACAACAGTACAGATAACCTTTGATTTCAATAAAACAAAAGGTCAATGGACGCCCTCAGATACCAAAGACCCCATTCCTCATTCTCTCTCTGCTCGGCATGTTGTTGTGCGTTTCCCTGCAGAAAGTCGTCTCCTCTGAGCTTCGCTAAAGCGCCACTTGCCATTTCCCTCCAAGTGGATATTAGCACCTTGGGCAAAAGGCTTGTGAATTGAGAACAACACACTGGGTGAAGCTAACTGAGAACTAGCACTGAGCCAGGCTGTGTTTGATGATTTCCCGGGATTGAGGTGGGATTCTGTCGGGGAAAATCACCTGGAACTCCACCACCAGGTCGCCTCTCTGGGACGGGCTTTTGGGCAGAGGAAGCCCCTCGCCTCGGAGCCGCCGCACAGCTCCTGGTTTGATCACATCGCTGCAGGGGAGAGGCATCATCCGGCTGTCCAGAGTCGGGACGTTAACCGTGCAGCCGCAGAGAGCCTGGAGGAGGAAGAGGAAGATAGAAAATATATTAAGAACAAGCTTTATGAAGTTACATAATGGATAAATAAGCTGGTCTGGTCTAAAACGGTTCAAAGACTCAAAGGCTTTATTGTGTCTTAATGAGAATCGGAAGGCTCCACCAACAATGCAACATAAATACTTTATATAAGACATCTTGTTCAATCTTGAATTATTCTGCAGGAGTTTCCAAGAAAATCTCTCCCTCTGCGGTGCCGTTATGCAACAGACAAACAAACGGTGTTACAGATGTTATAATCACTGGTTCTATTTTGCAGTTCCTGTGTGGGAGTGAAGTGAGCCAGAGGGAGATGGAGGGCGCTCTTTGAAATGTCATTCTCTGTGACTGCGAGGCTTGCTAATCTGTGCGTGGGTTTACTAGAAGTGAGAGGTGAGCGAGCCAGAACAGCCTCTCTGGCGGAGGAGTCTGCAGCTCGGATAGTAGCTGAGAGAGAGAGCTGTGATTGGTGGGGGCGGTCGGCGCTGAGGCTAAATTTAGATCCTGATTTCTCTCGCTCTGCAGGGGCCGGTGAGGTAACTAGCGTGGGCAGGATTCTGCTAGCTGCTGCTGAGGGGGTGGGGGGGTTCTGTCAGCCTATTGTGAACCAGGGGCTCAGATCCCTGCAGCAGAACACTGTGTCCCCTCCTGAGAATATAACCAATCCGTCCCTCGTTTTGGCTCGGATCCTCCTTCCGGTTTCATGTCTTTTTGAAGCCTTTCTGTAATCGTTTTTCTCTGGCTTCTGTTACATGAACACATAGGAAGTGGTGGGTGGAGGTGAGCCTTCATCTGAGTGGGTGTAAGCTGCTGGCAGTTACATACCATATCTACTTCTATATATATATAGTAGTAGATGTATAGACTTATATATAACAATGAGAATCAGAAGCCCAGTTTATATCTTCTTCCTTGGTTCTTCTTCTTGTTTTTTTAAACGTGTTATCTTTTATATACATTATGTTGCATTGTTGGAGGAGCCTGGGACTTAAGATCTGTTTCACATGTTAGTGTGATAAGCACTAAGACATGTTTTAATGTGTGTTGATTGGTATGTGAGTCCAGGGACTGCAGATGGTTTGTTCCCTGTCTTAAACCTGTCCTTCGAATACTCTATGAATTGCAAGCTGCCTCTAAATAGAATGAATTATTATTATTAATTATAGCGTCTTCTCTTTTTGAGATGAATGTATTTTAATGCATGATCCGCCTCAATAATGATATCTGACTATAAAGCCTTTGAGTCTTCCAGCCTGACACAGATGACACTAACTCACCTCTTTGAGCGTGATCTTGGCGGTGAACACGATGTTGGAGCCGTCCCTCTTGTACTGCTGGTGCTCTTTGTCCCTGAGGATGAAGGTGATGTCCGCGGGGGTGTTGTTGGGGGTCTCGTCTCCCTCCCTGGGGAAAGTGATCTTGGTCCCTGCCTTCCAGCCTTTCTTCACCACCACGTTCAGCACCTTCTCCTCTGACCTCAGGCTGCGACCGTCAGGGTTCAGGCGGCTTCGGGTGATCTTCACGTGTTTCGTGCAGCCCTGCATCACGTCCTCTAAAGTCACCAGGAGGTCGTGCACCACCTCGTCGCCCTGCAGGCGTCTCTGACCTCTCCGCAGACCGCCCTCGCCGCCAACGTGGCTGAAGGGGAAGCGTCTGAAGGGGTTAAAGAGGTCGTCTTCGTCCGCCTCGTTGCCGAAGATGTCGAAGTGGTCGGCGCCGTGGAAGGAGGTGGAGAAGGTGGCGTGGGGGTCGGTGTGGAAGGTGTTGCGGAAAACCTTCCCTTCCCTTGTCGAGAATCCACTTTTAAGACCTGGGAAAAACAGAACAAGTTCATTAGAATCTGATTGGGTTACTCTGAACATGCTTCATACTATAGGATCACTTTAAATATAAATGCAGAATGATGTAAGTACAGATGTTTAACCATGTTTTTATAATATTCTTCCCTGCCAATGTTTCCTCTTTTAATTTAGCTTGTGGTGACTAAGTTCCCAATCAGTCACTAAGAGGTTAAACCTGCAGATTGATGGTTCTTCATTCCTGTCTACTTTCATGCAAATTCGGCAGGAAAAACTCTCACTCTGCTGAATCATTTATGAGCCCCCCCACAGCTGATGTTAAGCCGGTTTCAAAAGGAAGTCTCTGAGTCATGATCCTCCCTCTGCTCCCCAGTACTTAGCCGTAGTGAATATGTAATGCACCAAACTGTGCTGCAGTAATAACCACATGTCAGTCACTATTCAAGCTCTCTAACTCATGCTAATGAATTCTCACCTTCTTCTCCAAACTGGTCGTAGATGCTTCTCCTCTTGGGGTCGTTCAGGATCTCGTAGGCTTCGGCGATCTCTTTGAACTTGTCCTCTGCGTCTGCATCGCTGTTCTTATCGGGATGGTACTTCAGAGCCATCTTCCTGTAGGCCTTCTTGATCTCGTCCTCGTTGGAGTCCGGGGAGACTCCCAGCACTTTGTAGAAGTCTTTGCCGGTGGGTTTGATGGCCATGCACGGTGCTTCCGGCTCAGATTTGCTGCTTTCCTGTGGAAAAAAAGAACAATCACACTTAGTACATTAAAAAAAAAAAAACGGGGGGGATGAATGCACTTTGTCTTGCATGTGAATTTGAAAGTGGTGCATGTTACAAGAAGGCTGATGATGAATAAGGGATGACTTTATGTAAATATGAATCCCCTAGAGTACAGACACCATGGCTCATGCATCGGACATCCTCCACACTGCCTGCACTGTATATATTAATATGCAGAAAACCCCTCTCTCTCTCTCTGTGTGGGGGTGAACTCCCTTATCCCCTGTGCTGCTGTGCAGATGCTTATCTATGCATTTTAAAGGCTGATGCACAATACAGTGAGAGAGAGGGGGGAAGTTGCAAAAGGGGAGATTTTTTTTTTTTTGCCCCAACGACCGAGATCTCTGCAGTGATTGGCTGATCGCACAGAGGCGACTTTTGCATCACAACTGACGATTCATTCACTACAAAAAATATCCACTACAACCACTACTAATGCATTTACAGCGAATATAATTTGACTTATGTTAATTTGGTGTCAATTCTGGAAGCATTCACATTCTTCATCGCAGGAATTCCGATTAAAATATTAAACCTTCAGCTGAATTAAGAAACAACGGCTTTTAATTCCCGACATATTAACCAAAATTCATCCAAGTGTTCTGATTAAGTTGAGCCAGCTTTTTAGCAAACAGCATTCAAACTGCCATGTCTTCAGGAATTGCATTAACTCACTATAGTGTGAGTATTTGATGATTTAGCACATACACAAACCGGTAAAAAAAAGAGAAGAAAGGGAAATAAAAATTGCTCTTACCCCTGATGAAGAGGACCCGGAGCTGTCTCCTCTGTGCATCACGCGCACTTTGCATTTCACGTTGCCATTTTTCTGCTTCATTCCAAACTGAGTCCAGATGAGAACCATGTTGCCGGTACTGAGTGTTTCTGAGTGTTTCTGTAGTCTCTGTCCGTGGTGCTGAAGCTGCTCCGGTGTGTCTCTGCTCTCCTCGGTTCTCCGTTAAATAGCTTCTCTCCTCCCTCCCTTTCTCTCTCTCCCTCCCCCGCACTGTGACCGAGCTTTCCCCGGTCCTCGTGACGCGCAGCAGGGAATGCCGGTGTCCTCGCGCACATCCATTGGTTCTCCGGTGATGATCCCCCGGATGTTACAGCCTTCTTCTCCTTGTGGAGACTTCTTTCCGGAGTTCTTGAAGGCAGAGCCGAGCAGACAGTCACGACTCAGGAAAGAGAGGGTTTTTTAAAAGAAAATATATATATATATTTCCCTGCTGTCTGCTCAGACAAACTCCAGACAGTCACCTGATCCTGAGCCCCTGTCCTCAAAATGGCTTTCATTTCAATTTTGTAAATACGAGCCCACGCCTTATGAATATTTTAGATAGATTGAGAAAATGCAAGGAATTGTTTTAGTTGGATATTTTATAAATAGCCTATAATTCTGCACTGGAGTAAAGTAAAGAATCAAACCTAGGTAAGGGTATATGATCACTTAGCAACATCGACAAAGACAAATAAAACAAGAATAAAGGACGCATATATTAACACTACAATCACTGACAATATGTTCGAGAACCTTCAATGTACATTAGATCTGAGATTACATTGAAGTAGGCTTTATCCTTACATTATTAAAAAGGACATATCAGTATGTAGTGTCTCTACTTTAAAGAGTCCTCTCCTGCTGATGTTCAGGTGTATATCAGTATGTAGTGTCTCTACTTTAAAGAGTCCTCTCCTGCTGATGTTCAGGTGTATATCAGTATGTAGTGTCTTTACTTTAAAGAGTCCTCTCCTGCTGATGTTCAGGTGTATATCAGTATGTAGCGTCTCTACTTTAAAGAGTCCTCTCCTGCTGATGTTCAGGTGTATATCAGTATGTAGCGTCTCTACTTTAAAGAGTCCTCTCCTGCTGATGTTCAGGTGTATATCAGTATGTAGTGTCTCTACTTTAAAGAGTCCTCTCCTGCTGATGTTCAGGTGTATATCAGTATGTAGCGTCTCTACTTTAAAGAGTCCTCTCCTGCTGATGTTCAGGTGTATATCAGTATGTAGCGTCTCTACTTTAAAGAGTCCTCTCCTGCTGATGTTCAGGTGTATATCAGTATGTAGTGTCTCTACTTTAAAGAGTCCTCTCCTGCTGATGTTCAGGTGTATATCAGTATGTAGTGTCTCTACTTTAAAGAGTCCTCTCCTGCTGATGTTCAGGTGTATATCAGTATGTAGTGTCTCTACTTTAAAGAGTCCTCTCCTGCTGATGTTCAGGTGTATATCAGTATGTAGTGTCTCTACTTTAAAGAGTCCTCTCCTGCTGATGTTCAGGTGTATATCAGTATGTAGTGTCTCTACTTTAAAGAGTCCTCTCCTGCTGATGTTTCAGGTGTATATCAGTATGTCGTGTCTCTACTTTAAAGAGTCCTCTCCTGCTGATGTTCAGGTGTATATCAGTATGTAGTGTCTCTACTTTAAAGAGTCCTCTCCTGCTGATGTTCAGGTGTATATCAGTATGTCGTGTCTCTACTTTAAAGAGTCCTCTCCTGCTGATGTTCAGGTGTATATCAGTATGTAGTGTCTCTACTTTAAAGAGTCCTCTCCTGCTGATGTTCAGGTGTATATCAGTATGTCGTGACTGCCTGTGCTGCAGCACCTCTTTTCACCCTCTGTCTGAAACCAGAGCCTAGTTTGCTCTGATTGGTTAGCTGGCCGGCTCTGTTTTGATTGGTCAACCGCTTAGAGATGTCCCGCCCCTTAACCTATCATTTACAATGATAGCCAATAGCAGCGTGTGTGTTACATAGTGATGCCACTATCATGTTCCTGAAGTGAACAACGGAGTCCAATGCTATCCGAAAGGTGGTATAGTAATACGTACACAAATAAATACTAAGCCTTAGTAGTCTTATGTACTCAAAAATGGTACTTAATTAAATTGACTTAGTTATTCTCCAGCAATGAAAGAGACTTTCTTGATGGAGTATGTTTCTGTGTTGTGGTGCTTCACTCCACTTCAAACATCTAAATATAAAGTGTAGCGGAGAGAAAATAGAGTGCCTTTTTTTATAATTACGCCTATAATTGCAGCAAATTACAGCCCTTCAAAGTTTCCTTTTATTTCCCCGTGGCTTAATTGAACTTGCAGCCAAAGTGTTCTGAGAATGGAGTTTCACTGCAAAGGTCAACAAGCTCTACTGTGTGTGTGGTGTGTGGTGTGTGTGTGTGGTGTGTGTGTGTGTGTGTGTGTGTGTGTGTGTGTGTGTGTGTGTGTGTGTGGTGTGGTGTGTGTGTGTGTGTGTGTGTGTGTGTGTGTGTGTGTGTGTGTGTGTGTGTGTGTGTGTGTGTGTGTGTGTGTGTGTGTGTGTGTGTGTGTGTGTGTGTGTGTGTGTGTGTGTGTGTGTGTGTGTGTGTGTGTGTGTGTGTGTGTGTGTGTGTGTGTGTGTGTGTGTGTGTGGTGTGTGTGTGTGTGTGTGTGTGTGTGTGGTGTGTGTGTGTGTGTGGTGCCCTCCTCCACCCCTTCTGCATACTCCTTCTGTTCAGTGTCTTGAACAATGAAGGCAGAGCGATGGCTGATAGCGGCAGCTCCAGGTTATGTAACTGCAATGTGTTGCTTTGGTGAGTCTTCTCAAATCTTCCTGCTGTGAAATATCACCTAGAAATCCTGTTGATTGATGGAAGGAGGCTGTTTGTCCTGCCAGAAACAATGAGATGAGTCCATCATAATGAACAGAGGTGGGAAGTAGTGGAGAACAAATACTTTGTTACTGTACTTAAGTACATGTTTCTGGTATCAGTACTTTACTCTTATTTATTTTTACGACTTTTTACTTTGACTTCTTACATGTTGAACCCAAATACCTGTACTTTCTACTTCTTACATGTTGAACTCAAATACCTGTACTTTCTACTTCTTACATGTTGAACACAAATACCTGTACTTTCTACTTCTTACATGTTGAACTCAAATACCTGTACTTTCTACTTCTTACATGTTGAACACAAATACCTGTACTTTCTACTTCTTACATGTTGAACCCAAATACCTGTACTTTCTACTTCTCACATTTCCCAAACAGGCTGGTTCCTTTAGTTTGAATGTGTGTTTGGTGGCGTGATCATTATTATTTAGAGTCATTGCGTGCCTATTGATTTGAACACGATCCGTGTATCCATCATTTCCTGGTCTTCTCTAAAGAAGAGGGACCAATGAAAACGTTGTCATGTTGCCGTTGTTCAGCATGGAAACATTCATTAGCTAACAATGACATTATTGTTCTATTAATATAAAGGGAGGTCAGGTACTCTTTAAAACAGCTGCTAGTTATGGGTACTTTTTACTGAAGTACATTTCAAAGCCCTCTTTACTTTGACTTGAGTAAAGAAGTTTAGTCAGTACTTCTACTTTTACCAGAGTATTTTTAAACACAAGTATCTGTACTTCTACTTGAGTAAAGGATGTGTGTACCTTTGCCCTCTCTGATTGAATGGCCTCTTCCATCTCAGGCAATACAACTGCTAAACTCCTGAACACTGTAAAGTGCCTCCAAAACCCAAAGCATTCATCTGGTTGCGTCTTTAGAATGTATTTAATTTATTATCATAACAGTAATAGTTAGTTGTATTTCACTGTACAATATTTAACCTTACATTCTGTTTCTTTCACCTGCACAATGTTATTCAAATGTATCTAAGTATATCTTCTCTTATCTGATATGGTCTATAGTGCAGACAAAAGGTATTTCTGGAGTTGAATATTGTTCAATATGTTTTTTTTTTTTAAATATGAAAAATAACCCACCCAGCTTCCCAAAACAATCAGAAAACCCTTTTTCTTGCAAAAGTAAATATATAAAACCTTTGCCCAAGTAATTTTACGTACAGTTCTCAAACTAGCACATTGATTGATTGATTGATTGATTGATACATTTTATTTCGAACAAGTAAAATAAATAATTACAAAACAAAACAAATGTTGCAGTGCATAGTCATGTAAGAGAAATCAAAACAAAAAATGACATTTACAACAACAACAACAACAGCATTAGCAACATAAACAGTGGCACATCTAGTGTTCGAAAAGGAGTGAGAAGTATAATTTATTTAATCTCACCCCCTTGTCCCTAAATGATTTATTTATAATCTAATCTTCAATAATTATCATTATTATTAATTATTATTGTTATTATTATTATTATTAATCTGCTTTACCTGTTGATTGACATATTTACATATACACATGTACATACACACATATACATATATGCACACATACATATACACACCTACATACTCACACATACAGTATACACATACACATAGTCAAACACCTTCCCCATCCCTGTACCTCGAGAAAATAATTTCTCTGTATTTCCTCTTGAACTGGTTAATGTCTGGACATCGCTTTAGCTCCACATTCACACTGTTCCATAGTCTCACTCCACGTTCACGCTGTTCCATAGTCTCACTCCACGTTCACGCTGTTCCATAGTCTCACTCCACGTTCACGCTGTTCCATAGTCTCACTCCACGTTCACGCTGTTCCATAGTCTCACTCCACGTTCACGCTGTTCCATAGTCTCACTCCACGTTCACGCTGTTCCATAGTCTCACTCCACGTTCACGCTGTTCCATAGTCTCACTCCACGTTCACGCTGTTCCATAGTCTCACTCCACGTTCACGCTGTTCCATAGTCTCACTCCACGTTCACGCTGTTCCATAGTCTCACTCCACGTTCACGCTGTTCCATAGTCTCATTCCACGTTCACGCTGTTCCATAGTCTCACTCCACGTTCACGCTGTTCCATAGTCTCACTCCACGTTCACGCTGTTCCATAGTCTCACTCCACGTTCACACTGTTCCATAGTCTCACTCCACATTCACACTGTTCCATAGTCTCACTCCACAGGGTTAGGGTTAATGTCTGGACATCGCTTTAGCTCCACATTCACACTGTTCCATAGTCTCACTCCACGTTCACGCTGTTCCATAGTCTCACTCCACGTTCACGCTGTTCCATAGTCTCACTCCACGTTCACGCTGTTCCATAGTCTCACTCCACGTTCACGCTGTTCCATAGTCTCACTCCACGTTCACGCTGTTCCATAGTCTCACTCCACGTTCACGCTGTTCCATAGTCTCACTCCACATTCACGCTGTTCCATAGTCTCACTCCACGTTCACGCTGTTCCATAGTCTCACTCCACGTTCACGCTGTTCCATAGTCTCACTCCACGTTCACGCTGTTCCATAGTCCTCACTCCACGTTCACGCTGTTCCATAGTCTCATTCCACGTTCACGCTGTTCCATAGTCTCACTCCACGTTCACGCTGTTCCATAGTCTCACTCCACGTTCACGCTGTTCCATAGTCTCACTCCACGTTCACACTGTTCCATAGTCTCACTCCACATTCACACTGTTCCATAGTCTCACTCCACAGGGTTAGGGTTAATGTCTGGACATGGCTTTAGCTCCACATTCACACTGTTCCATAGTCTCACTCCACATTCACACTGTTCCATAGTCTCACTCCACGTATCACGCTGTTTCCATAGTCTCACTCCACGTTCACGCTGTCCTAGTCCACTCCACGTTCACAGCTGTTCCATAGTCCTCACTCCACAGTCACGCTGTTCCATAGTCTCACTCCACGTTCCACGCTGTTCCATAGTCTCACTCCACGTTCACGCTGTTCCATAGTCTCACTCCACGTTCACGCTGTTCCATAGTCTCACTCCACGTTCACGCTGTTCCATAGTCTCACTCCACGTTCACGCTGTTCCATAGTCTCACTCCACGTTCACCGCTGTTCCATAGTCTCACTCCACGTTCACGCTGTTCCATAGTCTCACTCCACGTTCACGCTGTTCCATAGTCTCACTCCACGTTCACGCTGTTCCATAGTCTCACTCCACGTTCACGCTGTTCCATAGTCTCACTCACGTTCACGCTGTTCCATAGTCTCACTCCACGTTCACACTGTTCCATAGTCTCACTCCACATTCACACTGTTCCATAGTCTCACTCCACAGGGTTAGGGTTAATGTCTGGACATGGCTTTAGCTCCACATTCACACTGTTCCATAGTCTCACTCCACGTTCACGCTGTTCCATAGTCTCACTCCACGTTCACGCTGTTCCATAGTCTCACTCCACGTTCACGCTGTTCCATAGTCTCACTCCACGTTCACGCTGTTCCATAGTCTCACTCCACGTTCACGCTGTTCCATAGTCTCACTCCACGTTCACGCTGTTCCATAGTCTCACTCCACGTTCACGCTGTTCCATAGTCTCACTCCACGTTCACGCTGTTCCATAGTCTCACTCCACGTTCACGCTGTTCCATAGTCTCACTCCACGTTCACACTGTTCCATAGTCTCACTCCACATTCACGCTGTTCCATAGTCTCACTCCACATTCACACTGTTCCATAGTCTCACTCCACAGGGTTAGGGTTAATGTCTGGACATGGCTTTAGCTCCACATTCACACTGTTCCATAGTCTCACTCCACATTCACGCTGTTCCATAGTCTCACTCCACGTTCACGCTGTTCCATAGTCTCACTCCACGTTCATGCTGTTCCATAGTCTCACTCCACATTCACGCTGTTCCATAGTCTCACTCCACGTTCACACTGTTCCATAGTCTCACTCCACGTTCACGCTGTTCCATAGTCTCACTCCACGTTCACGCTGTTCCATAGTCTCACTCCACGTTCACGCTGTTCCATAGTCTCACTCCACGTTCACGCTGTTCCATAGTCTCACTCCACATTCACGCTGTTCCATAGTCTCACTCCACGTTCACGCTGTTCCATAGTCTCACTCCACGTTCACGCTGTTCCATAGTCTCACTCCACGTTCACACTGTTCCATAGTCTCACTCCACGTTCACGCTGTTCCATAGTCTCACTCCACGTTCACGCTGTTCCATAGTCTCACTCCACGTTCACACTGTTCCATAGTCTCACTCCACATTCACACTGTTCCATAGTCTCACTCCACAGGGTTAGGGTTAATGTCTGGACATGGCTTTAGCTCCACATTCACACTGTTCCATAGTCTCACTCCACGTTCACGCTGTTCCATAGTCTCACTCCACGTTCACGCTGTTCCATAGTCTCACTCCACGTTCACGCTGTTCCATAGTCTCACTCCACGTTCACGCTGTCCATAGTCTCACTCCACGTTCACGCTGTTCCATAGTCTCACTCCACGTTCACGCTGTTCCATAGTCTCACTCCACGTTCACGCTGTTCCATAGTCTCACTCCACGTTCACGCTGTTCCATAGTCTCACTCCACGTTCACGCTGTTCCATAGTCTCACTCCACGTTCACGCTGTTCCATAGTCTCACTCCACATTCACGCTGTTCCATAGTCTCACTCCACGTTCACGCTGTTCCATAGTCTCACTCCACGTTCACGCTGTTCCATAGTCTCACTCCACATTCACGCTGTTCCATAGTCTCACTCCACAGGGTTAGGGTTAATGTCTGGACATGGCTTTAGCTCCTCATTCACACTGTTCCATAGTCTCACTCCACATTCATGCTGTTCCATAGTCTCACTCCACATTCACGCTGTTCCATAGTCTCACTCCACGTTCACGCTGTTCCATAGTCTCACTCCACGTTCACGCTGTTCCATAGTCTCACTCCACGTTCACACTGTTCCATAGTCTCACTCCACGTTCACGCTGTTCCATAGTATCACTCCACATTCACGCTGTTCCATAGTCTCACTCCACGTTCACACTGTTCCATAGTCTCACTCCACGTTCACGCTGTTCCATAGTCTCACTCCACGTTCACACTGTTCCATAGTCTCACTCCACGTTCACGCTGTTCCATAGTCTCACTCCACGTTCACGCTGTTCCATAGTCTCACTCCACGTTCACACTGTTCCATAGTCTCACTCCACATTCACACTGTTCCATAGTCTCACTCCACAGGGTTAGGGTTAATGTCTGGACATGGCTTTAGCTCCACATTCACACTGTTCCATAGTCTCACTCCACGTTCACGCTGTTCCATAGTCTCACTCCACGTTCACGCTGTTCCATAGTCTCACTCCACGTTCACAGCTGTTCCATAGTCTCACTCCACGTTCACGCTGTTCCATAGTCTCACTCCACGTTCACGCTGTTCCATAGTCTCACTCCACGTTCACGCTGTTCCATAGTCTCACTCCACGTTCACGCTGTTCCATAGTCTCACTCCACGTTCACGCTGTTCCATAGTCTCACTCCACGTTCACGCTGTTCCATAGTCTCACTCCACGTTCACGCTGTTCCATAGTCTCACTCCACGTTCACGCTGTTCCATAGACTCACTCCACGTTCACGCTGTTCCATAGTCTCACTCCACGTTCACGCTGTTCCATAGTCTCACTCCACATTCACGCTGTTCCATAGTCTCACTCCACGTTCACGCTGTTCCATAGTCTCACTCCACGTTCACGCTGTTCCATAGTCTCACTCCACATTCACGCTGTTCCATAGTCTCACTCCACAGGGTTAGGGTTAATGTCTGGACATGGCTTTAGCTCCTCATTCACACTGTTCCATAGTCTCACTCCACATTCACGCTGTTCCATAGTCTCACTCCACGTTCACGCTGTTCCATAGTCTCACTCCACGTTCACGCTGTTCCATAGTCTCACTCCACATTCACACTGTTCCATAGTCTCTCTCCACAGGCTGAGATACAAAAAGTTCTTCTGGTTGTACGGACCCTATGAATTTCGAATTGAAATTGTGTCCTTGAACTATATCCCCCCACTCGTTGAGTGAATACGTTTGCCTTAAACATGATTTGTGCCGTTTGGAATTCTACCAGGTCTGTGAATTTTAACAATTTTGACTGCATGAATAATTCGTTAGTGCGATCAAGGGTAGTGGTGGTCTAATGGATAGTGAGGTGGGCTGAAGATCGCTGAAGATCGGAAGGTTGAGAGTTCAAATCCCGCCTGGAACACCAGCACTAGTGTGCCCTTGAGTAAGGCACTTAGCCCTTAGTTACTCCACGGAGGATGTCCCTGTAATTGGTAATTGTAAGTCGCTTTGAATAAAAGCGTCAGCTAAATGAAATGTAATGTAATGTAATGTAATCAAGGTATTTGGCATTGTGAATGATTCGTATGGCTTTTTTTTGTAGAATAGATACTGCATGTATAGAACTGTTGTAGTTATTGCCCCAGATGTCAGCACAGTCAGTCAGATATGGTCAGACTAGTGAACAGTAGAGAATGAGAAGTGATTTCTGATCCAGAACTTGTTTTACTTTGTTTAGTATGGAAATGCTTCTTGACAGCTTTCATTGTATGTGTTTTATGTGTAATTTCCAACTTATTGTGTCATCTATTATTTCCCCAAGACATTTAATTTCATGGACTCTTTCAATTTCAACCCCATCTATTTTTATTTGCATTTGTGTTTTTGTTCTATGTTTACCGAACAGCATTAAAGTTTAATGATAGTTTATTTTTGTCAAACCATGTTTTTAATTTGTGCATTTCATTTTCTATGTTCTCCACTAGCTGTTCTAAATTCTCCCCAGAACAGAATATATTTGTAGCACATATCTCATGAAGGAAAACAAGAAATCCTATTTATAAGTCTATTTACAAGTCTATTTATAAGGGCTTGTGTGATGTTCCAGATTATTAAAACGTGTGTAAAACTCATCGAAAAACATCTCGCACACTCATAATGTTGATAACTGATGTATCATCACTTCATCTGCTCTGCTCTAATGCACCTTCCCCTGTGTGTGTTTCTTTCACAGCTCAAACATGGCCGTGCTTCCTGCTCTCTGATGCTCTTTTACGTCCAATGGCTGCTGGAGTTTCCCGAGGATTCTCCGCTCGTCTTACAGGAAACACGAGACAAATTTGGTATGAAACATGTTGCCCACCGGAGCGTCATGCAGCAGTTCGCAGCTCGACATGTTCTATTCACAGAGAGAGAGAGGCAGTGAATCATTTCTCTCTCTCAGCCCACAGGAACAGTCTGACTGTGTTTCTCACACATTCACACCGTCTCTCTCAGAGGAACACAGACAAAGTGCCTGTCAGTCTCAGAGCAGGGAGCGATAATTGAAGTGCCAAGATGCAGAGCTGCTGTTATGGTGGAGGAGGAGGTGGAGGAGGTGGAGGAGGAGAATATGCAGTGTTCTCGTTCCTGTATGTTCAACCTCATACTCAGGAGTACATGCTTTGAAAAGACAACATCTTTGTGCTGCTTACATAATTATGATAATATATTCAAATCAAGAACAAACACCGTTGATAATCTGGTCCTGCTATTTTCAACATTGATTAAAAATAGTGTCTTTGTTTCTCCTCATGGGTGTGCGTGTCCCTGACAAGTGACATCTTTGTATAGAATAAGAGGCCCTATTCTGCTTTTTGAGCATTCTCCCTTTCCTGTAGTGTGTTCTCTAGGTTTTAGTGCATGTAAATGGTCTGCAGAGGCTAAAATCCCTGTGTTCCTGAACATGGTGACATCACTAGGTAACACTCGCGCTCTTATTGGCTAGCGCTCCAACACATTGTACGTGATAGGCTAAGGGGCGGGACATCTCTAAGCAAGTTGACCAATCACAACAGAGCCAGCCAGCTAACCAATCAGAGCAGACTGGGCTCTGGTTTCAGACAGAGAGTGAAAAGAGGGGCTGCAGCACAGGCAGTCACTACATACTGAGATACACCTGAACATCAGCAGGAGAGGACTCTTTAAAGTAGAGACACTACATACTGATATACACCTGAACATCATCAGGAGAGGACTCTTTAAAGTAGAGACACTACATACTGATATACACCTGAACATCAGCAGGAGAGGACTCTTTAAAGTAGAGACACTACATACTGATATACACCTCAACATCAGCAGGAGAGGACTCTTTAAAGTAGAGACACTACATACTGATATACACCTGAACATCAGCAGGAGAGGACTCTTTAAAGTAGAGACACCTGAACATCAGCAGGAGAGGACTCTTTAAAGTAGAGACACCTGAACATCAGCAGGAGAGGACTCTTTAAAGTAGAGACACTAAATACTAATTGATCATAGACTAACCTAGGTTTGCTTCTTTACTATTACTGTGCTTTATGCCAGGGCAGAATTATACGCTACTTATGAAATATGCCACTAAAATAAACCCAGCACTCTCTCCTGCACAGCAAAGTAATATAGCTTGAATAATATTCAAAACACGTGGGCTTGTGTTCAGGTTGAAAAAAGGGAAATGAAAGCCCTTTGAGGACAGGGGCTACGTCAGGTGACTGTCTGGAGTCTGTCTGAGCAGACAGCAGGGAATAAAATATATATATTTATAAAAGCACAAACACTCTTTCCTGAGTCGTGGCTGTCTGCTCGGCTGCACAGTAGAGGAACAAAATACACATATGCAAATGAGTGTAATGGGACATTTGCTCAGACAGTGAGCTGAGGGCAGATTTAATAAAGTGCTCCCCAGCAACACAAAGCCTTTTCTCTGCCAAAAACACAATCCATCTCGCCTGCTGCACCGCAATCTGTGCCTTTGTTTGCTCCAATCGCTTCTCTTCACCTCTCCTCTACTGTGCTGCTCTCCGTCTGAAATCTTTATATAAAACCCTTCTCTCCTCTGTCCTCAAATGCTCTCCACTATCATCTGTATTTGGGACGTTTCTCACTATTTTCTGACTCTTTAAAGACCAAACGATCACTTTATGAAGAAAACATTGGATTATATTGATGAAGCAGTGGTGTAAAGAAACTAAGTACATGTACTCTGTACTTAAGTACAATTTTGAGTATTTACATGTTTTGCTATACTTCTACTCCACTACAGTTCAGAGGTAAATGGTGTACTTTTACTCCACTACATGTATTTAATACCTTTAGTTACTTCACAGATGTGGATGAATGATGTGAAATATAATCAAGTGTTAAATCAGACTTTAGTTCCACCTGGAGTAAATCCACAAGCTACCCTGCAGTATACAAAGTCATTCAAACTAGCTGCACCATTACCAGCTTTGAGAACACTTTCATGATCAATCATTATAAAACATATCATATATATTATTCTGAAATGGACCAATCTGCACAATGACTACTTTTACTGTCGCTACTTTCACTATATTTTGATGAGAATACTTTTCTACTTTTACTTGAGGAACATTTTGAATGCAGGACTTTTACTGTAACAGAGTATTCCTACACTCTGGCACTTCTACTTTTACTCAAGTACAAGATCTGAGTACTTCTACTTTTACTCAAGTACAAGATCTGAGTACTTCTACTTTAACTCAAGTACAAGATCTGAGTACTTCTCCTTTTACTCAAGTACAAGATCTGAGTACTTCTACTTTTACTCAATTACAAGATCTGAGTACTTCTACTTTTACTCAAGTACAAGATCTGAGTACTTCTCCTTTTACTCAAGTACAAGATCTGAGTACTTCTACTTTTACTCAAGTACAATATCTGAGTACTTCTCCTTTTACTCAAGTACAAGATCTGAGTACTTCTACTTGTACTCAAGTACAATATCTGAGTACTTCTACTTGTACTCAAGTACAATATCTGAGTACTTCTACTTGTACTCAAGTACAATATCTGAGTACTTCTACTTTTACTCATGTACAAGATCTGAGTACTTCTCCTTTTACTCAAGTACAAGATCTGAGTACTTCTACTTTTACTCAAGTACAAGATATGGGTACTTTTACTCAAGTACAAGATCTGAGTACTTCTACTTTTACTCAAGTACAAGATATGGGTACTTCTACTTTTACTCATGTACAAGCTCTGAGTACTTCTACTTTTACTCAAGATTTTAGTACTTTTACTTTTATTCAAGTACAAGATCTGAGTTATTCTTCCACCTCTGCTTTGACAAGATGATTTCTGATAATAATAATAAGGTATTTGTTCATAATGACTACCTTTCTCTTTTCTCCTCGAGCAGTAAGATCTGAAAGTACCATGATGTTAAATCTCAGTCTGGTTCGGTGTCTGCATTTAAATAGACATTTCTGAGTAAGTTGTTTGACCATCTGCTGTCAGCAGACTTCTGGCTATCTCCGCATTCGAGACATTTTCAGTCCCAGCCATGCGTGGGAGTTGGTACATCGGGGGGGAAGGTGCGAGACGAGAGTTTGAAAATCAGAACATCTCATTTCTCCTGGTGATAAAATATGAGTTGTTGTTGTTGTGACAGTTACTGGATGTGCCGTTCTGCTGTCTCTCTGCCCACGGCTGCACCCACATCTAAAACGTCTTTACAGGGAAACGTTCCTCAAGTTTTTCCTCATTGTTAGAATATTTTCTCCTCAATGTCATGTTTACAAGATTATTTCTGATAATTATTAGGTCTTTTCTCATAATGACAACTTTATTTCTCTTAAAGGTGACCTATCATGCAAAATGCACTTTTTGATGTCTTTTATACATCAACATGTGTCCCCGGTGTGTCAGGGAACTCACGCAGCATCAGCAAATAAAACCCTCTCTCTTTTCCTCCGTACCCAAATCTCTAAAAATGGGGGAACAACGGAGCTGATCCAGATTTGCGTCCGATATGACGTAATATCTGAAATGTGGACCCACGGCCCTATCAGAAACGTTGCTATCAGCAGGGATGCCTGACTGTTTTGGACGTAATATGGTCGGTGTTTACATTAGCATCGCTAACACTCAGAGCTAACCTGTACTGGAGAGCATGTGTGTGAAGAAGCAGGAAATAAAAAGGAACTCACCTTGTGGTATAACCGGCAAGAGAGAAAGCCTTTGAGCTCCATACTGTTTCAGAAAGAATCCTTGATAATCCATGATATGGCGTTTCATCACGGCAGCATTTAGTTTAGACAGTAGCTGCCGGGTCCCGCATGAGCTCAGACCCCTACTTTTTTTTTTATCGATTTTTTTTTTTTTTAAGCTTTATACCCAAAATCAGCACTCTTGAAACAGGAAGTGAAATAGAGGGATATGAGGCATGGCTAGAATGGGTGATCTGTTTGGTATTTGGAGCAAAACACTTCATAGACATGTTTTTTATATATCTGAGACCTATGCTATTGCCTACAAATAGCATGATAGGTGACCTTTAATTATAAGGTATTTTCTCATAATCTTAATATACATAATGAAATGTCCTTTTGGTGTTATTTTGAAAATCTACTCCTGCATGCTGGTCCGTTCCTCAGCTAACATCACTCTCCTAAAGCAGCATTTTCACATCATATCTTCTCAGTATTTTCCTCAGTATATTTAGATTTAAAAGCAAAAACAGTGGTTTTTTGTTTTTCCCTGGAAACTGCTGCCCTCTGCTGTGTAGAAGCAGAACACTGCATGAGAAAATGTTGGACATTTAGAGGATATTTTCCACTGCAAAGCCAGACTTATTATATAACAAAGCAAGAGGAAGAATAGACTACATCTGTCTGCTTTTTATCGAGGGAGATACAGCTTATTATGTGTCAACGAGCCTACAAACATTACTAATATGTCTAAATGAACATTTATCCATATTTCGAATGAACCCGTCTTTGTTCATCTTTGAGCAGGAGCATACCACCAATCTGAGTTTTGTTTTTGAAGTCAACGAAAGGGAGAAAATATGTGGATTTTGATGCAGTCTCTGCTCTATTTCTCTCGTCGCTAAACTCAATACTTTTCAGCAAATGCAGTGTGTTTGTTCTGGATGTGTGCTTTAATACTGCTTTGTTTGTTTGATTATTTCTGGCCGTTGATCACGCGTCCTGGAGAGCCAGCAGCATCACCGGTAAACACCAACAAATCTGTCTAAACAATATATTTGTAATGTGGCATGGCTAGAGGATTTAGAGCAGGGGCGTCCTAACTTTCTCCACCGAGGGCCACATACAGAACAATATACGAAGGTCTGTGCCGCTCACTAGAGGTATATCGCCTCATAAGTTCAGTTATAAGTTGGAAAAGTCAATCCAATGTCGGTAAATTATGCTTGATACTTGGAAATGCTGTTAGATAAAAACAGCTCACAGCTCTCCAGAGGGTTTCAGTTACAGCTCATTCCTTAAAACAGAAGCTTCAGATTGATTACAATGAGGGGAAATATGGAGGGTCTATTTCAAGGTTGTTATGTGAATGTGTTATTGGGCTTTTTCTCATTAGATTTGTCAGAACATGTTTCCAACTTTAACTGACAGAATTTATTTGAACATTTGGCCTATTAACATATATATTTAAGAAGTACAATATAAGACAAGCAGAAGTTTATTATACTTAAGTCATTATACTTTTTAAATTTGCTGAGTGAGGGCCGATTGAAAATGGTCCGCGGGCCGCATTTTTTTTTTCAGTAGTTTGGACACCCCTGGTTTAGAGGATAGGGTAGGTAGATGTAGGTAGGCTATAAGGGACATTTAAGTTGACTTAAATGTGGAAAAACATGTTTATTTGCTGTGTATGCTACATCTTTTTACATTTAGAGAGTATAAGAACCACTTACAAAAATGCTACATTATAGAAAAATAACAACTCCATCACCTCATTTCCACGTTTTCTTTGGCAAAGCCACAAGGAGCCACTTAAAGGAGGCTTAATGTCTGGTTGTCCCCCAGTTCAACTCTCAGAGGTCAGATCACACAGATTCACAATATGTTCGTAATGTGGCATGGCTAGAGGATTTAGAGGATATGGTAGGTAGATGTAGGAAGGCTATAAGGGACATTTAAGTTGACTTAAATGTGGAAAAACATGTTTATTTGCTGTGTATGATACATATTTTGGCATTTAGAGAGTATAAGAACCACTTGAGGAGTACAAAAATGCTACATAACAAGTAAAATGTTAGAGAAATAACAATTTTCTCATTGAATTGCCATGTTTTTTTAGGCAAAGCCACAAGGAGCCACTAAAAAGAAGCTTACCATCCCACAGTTCAACTCTCCTAGACGTCAGTATGTATGTATTATTATGTATACAATTATTTGTATTTTTTTGTTTGGCCTTATGATGGCTAAGATTGAATGACCATTTTAGTTTTCACATCATATAGCACTGTAAACTGCATGCAATGACGAGCTGTTTTGTTTTATGTATGTCTATGTATGTTTTGTGCGTGTGAGGACCCCAGAGCCAATGCTCATGCTTTAGTGCTAATGGGGATCCGAATAAAGATCACACAGGGGGGTCAGATCCACCACCATCGTGGCGTTTGTTCCTCCGTTCTCCCTCTCCTCGGCTCTGCTCAGATTTCTCCTTCTCCTTTAACCGTCTCCAGTTCTCCTCGGGGTGAGAGACCGCAGAGAGAGGCAGTCTGCACACGGCCCGGATCTCAGAGGAGATGAGGAGGAAGATGAGGGTCGAGAGGCAGAACGGCCACGTGCAGGCGGGTAACGCCAGCTGAAAGGAGACGTCAGAGGAGAGAGAGATATTTGGATACGTTTGGGACGTTTTTTAATGACACAGGTTAAACATACACAATTATATAAGTTGTATTTATTAATTCAATTTTTTTAAATTATTATTATTATTAATCTTTACATTTTTTTTACGTTTGAAATATTTAATAATGTTTTTATTTTTTATTATATATTAATTTTTTTATCATTTTTTACTTTTTTAATTCTTTAATTTTTTTAATTTCTTAACTTTTAAACATTTTTTTTGTTTTTTTTCTTACATATAAATGTTTTTAATAGATGTTTTTATTGCATTTTTTTATTTAAAGTGGACCTATCATGGTATATTTAAATGATATATTGTAGGACCATACCTATATAAGGTATATTTATACGTTTCTGTTTTCAAAATACCAAACAGATCATGCATTTTAGCCATGCCTCATTTCGCTCAATTTGCACTTTTTTTTAGCTCTGCTCAGTGAGAACAGCACCATCTACAGGCCTGGCATATGTACTACAGCGTCTCCAGCGCTTTCGAACAGCAATGGCCGTGGCTGTCTCCTCCTGATTGGTGGAGTTGGCCCAATAGCCGTAGCGCCACCGTCCTGACGTCAGGACAGTGTTCAAATCTGGATCAGTTTTTATCAGATCCGTTGCAGCCCCTTTTTTAGAGATTTGGGTATGGAGGAAAATAGAGAGGGTTGTGTTTTCTGACACTTGGTGAGTTCCCTGGAACACCGGGGACACATATTCATGTAGAAAAGACGTACAAAAGTGCATTTTGCATGATAGGTCCCCTTTAATTATTTTATTGCATTTTGTAACATTTTAACGACATTTTTTGTAATTATATTTATGTATGCGAAAGTGGTCTTAAAGTCATGATATCACCAGAAGAAGAATTGATCCTACTTACCACAGACATGAGTTGTGACACCGCTCCAGTCATGTAAGCGCAGAACAATGCTGAAAGAGAAACGCATTTTTAATTCACAAACATTTCTGAAGGAGGAAAACGCTGATAGTGTTTGGAGACCTCACCACAGAATACAGCCAGGAGGTGTGTCTGCCACGTGAGGACATAGAAGACCCCCCCGATGGCAATGCAGGAGAGAACGCTGTTATACCCCCACAGCCCGGAGAAAATGTCCTGATGAGGAGCCGCCAGCGCTAACCCTGCACCACACACACACACACACACACACACACACACACACACACACACACACACACACACACACACACACACACACACACACACACACACACACACACACACACACACACACACACACACACACACACACACACACACACACACACACACACACACACACACACACACACACACACACACACACACACACACACACACACACACACACACACACACACACAGAGAGAGAGGAACACATAATTTACTCAAGTAGAAGTACAGATACTCGTGTTTAAAAATACTCTGGTGAAAGTAGAAGTACTGACTAAACTTCTTTACTCAAGTAAAAGTAAAGAGGGCTTTGAAATGTACTTCAGTAAAAAGTACCCATAACTAGCAGCTGTTTTAAAGAGTACCTGACCTCCCTTTATATTAATAGAACAATAATGTCATTGTTAGCTAATGAATGTTTCCATGCTGAACAACGGCAACATGACAACGTTTTCATTGGTCCCTCTTCTTTAGAGAAGACCAGGAAATGATGGATACACGGATCGTGTTCAAATCAATAGGCACGCAATGACTCTAAATAATAATGATCACGCCACCAAACACACATTCAAACTAAAGGAACCAGCCTGTTTGGAAAATGTAAGAAGTAGAAAGTACAGGTATTTGTGTTTAACATGTAAGAAGTAGAAAGTACAGGTATTTGTGTTCAACATGTAAGAAGTAGAAAGTACAGGTATTTGTGTTCAAAATGTAAGAAGTAGAAAGTACAGGTATTTGTGTTCAAAATGTAAGAAGTAGAAAGTACAGGTATTTGTGTTCAAAATGTAAGAAGCAGAGAGTACAGGTATTTGTGTTCAACATGTAAGAAGCAGAGAGTACAGGTATTTGGGTTCAACATGTAAGAAGTAGAAAGTACAGGTATTTGTGTTCAAAATGTAAGAAGCAGAGAGTACAGGTATTTGTGTTCAAAATGTAAGAAGTAGAAAGTACAGGTATTTGTGTTCAAAATGTAAGAAGCAGAGAGTACAGGTATTTGGGTTCAACATGTAAGAAGTAGAAAGTACAGGTATTTGTGTTCAACATGTAAGAAGTAGAAAGTACAGGTATTTGAGTTCAACATGTAAGAAGTAGAAAGTACAGGTATTTGAGTTCAACATGTAAGAAGTAGAAAGTACAGGTATTTGTGTTCAACATGTAAGAAGTAGAAAGTACAGGTATTTGTGTTCAACATGTAAGAAGTAGAAAGTACAGGTATTTGAGTTCAACATGTAAGAAGTAGAAAGTACAGGTATTTGGGTTCAAAATGTAAGAAGTAGAAAGTACAGGTATTTGGGTTCAAAATGTAAGAAGTAGAAAGTACAGGTATTTGTGTTCAAAATGTAAGAAGTAGAAAGTACAGGTATTTGTGTTCAAAATGTAAGAAGTAGAAAGTACAGGTATTTGTGTTCAAAGTGTAAGAAGTAGAAAGTACAGGTATTTGTGTTCAAAATGTAAGAAGTCAAAGTAAAAAATCGTCAGAAAAATAAGTAGTGGAGTAAAGTACTGATACCAGAAAAATGTACTTAAGTACAGTAACGAAGTATTTGTACTCCACTACTTCCCACCTCTGACCACACATCATAAAAAGCTCAATATTCACCATGAAATTCATTATTTTAAAGCAAATAATCACACACACGTCAGAGTGGAAAACTGGGTCAAGATAACTGGGTATTTGGAGGAACCACGTCACGGTTTGTTAGCCCCTGCTGGCGCCTCAGCATGAATTATGCATTTCCTTTCATGCAAATGGGTGAATGAGTTTTACCGGACAGCGTGCCGGCAGCAGAGCCGCACACAGCGTGGAGGCAGATTGTTGGAGAGCAGAGCAGCAGAGCCAGCAGGAACACACCTCCTGTCCACGGACTGCTGCAGCCGTACACCTGGCCCACTCCCACTGGCACCGAGAAGAAGAGCTGTGAGAGCATAGCCTACATTTAGTATATATTATACAACATGTGTGCAAAATAGCCACTGGATTGTGTGGGTTTTTTAGAGCCAGAGGATATTTCATACTGCTCCAGAGAGATATCTAGGCTTTGCATGTCTTGTCTCTGTCTTGTTTTTAACAATCATACATACCTGCCTCACATACTTATGTATATATAATAACTTGCTTTATAATTTGTTACTGTAAATGTATAATTCAACATGTATATTTTCTACTTTCTTGTTTATTTCTTGTCTTTTAATTGTTATTGTACAATGCCATGTCTTTTTATGCTGCTGCAACACAAACATTTCCCAAATTTGGATCAATAAAGTACTATCTTATCTTACCTAATACGATTTTTCGTATCTAGGTTATCTAGGAGTCACTAAAAGCATGCAAAGATATTCATTTTAATATGATATAGAACAAAGAGCTACAGTACAGGATCTGTTCCACTTTACCTGAGAGATATCCAGGCTCTGCACGGACTCGTTCAGAGCGAGCAGATGGTCATTTGGCTTGAAATCCACCTGAACGGCAGAAAAAAAGACCTTGAATCTGCTTCTAAGCTCTGTGTGCGTGCATCTCAGCAGAGAGGGTATAAGTACACACATCCTTTACTCAAGTAGAAGTACAGACACTCGTGTTTAAAAATACTCTGGTGAAAGTAGAAGTACTGACTAAACTTCTTTACTCAAGTCAAAGTAAAGAGGGCTTTGAAATGTACTTCAGTAAAAAGTACCCATAACTAGCAGCTGTTTTAAAGAGTACCTGACCTCCCTTTATATTAATAGAACAATAATGTCATTGTTAGCTAATGAATGTTTCCATGCTGAACAACGGCAACATGACAACGTTTTCATTGGTCCCTCTTCTTTAGAGAAGACCAGGAAATGATGGATACACGGATCGTGTTCAAATCAATAGGCACGCAATGACTCTAAATAATAATGATCACGCCACCAAACACACATTCAAACTAAAGGAACCAGCCTGTTTGGGAAATGTGAGAAGTAGAAAGTACAGGTATTAGTGTTCAACATGTGAGAAGTAGAAAGTACAGGTATTTGGGTTCAACATGTGAGAAGTAGAAAGTACAGGTATTTGTGTTCAACATGTAAGAAGTAGAAAGTTCAGGTATTTGGGTTCAACATGTAAGAAGTAGAAAGTACAGGTATTTGTGTTCAACATGTAAGAAGTAGAAAGTACAGGTATTTGTGTTCAAAATGTAAGAAGTAGAAAGTACAGGTATTTGTGTTCAACATGTAAGAAGTAGAAAGTACAGGTATTTGTGTTCAACATGTAAGAAGTAGAAAGTTCAGGTATTTGTGTTCAACATGTAAGAAGTAGAAAGTACAGGTATTTGTGTTCAACATGTAAGAAGTAGAAAGTTCAGGTATTTGTGTTCAACATGTAAGAAGTAGAAAGTACAGGTATTTGGGTTCAACATGTAAGAAGTAGAAAGTACAGGTATTTGTGTTCAACATGTAAGAAGTAGAAAGTACAGGTATTTGTGTTCAACATGTAAGAAGTAGAAAGTTCAGGTATTTGTGTTCAACATGTAAGAAGTAGAAAGTACAGGTATTTGGGTTCAACATGTAAGAAGTAGAAAGTACAGGTATTTGTGTTCAACATGTAAGAAGTAGAAAGTACAGGTATTTGTGTTCAAAATGTAAGAAGTAGAAAGTACAGGTATTTGTGTTCAACATGTAAGAAGTAGAAAGTACAGGTATTTGTGTTCAACATGTAAGAAGTAGAAAGTTCAGGTATTTGTGTTCAACATGTAAGAAGTAGAAAGTACAGGTATTTGTGTTCAACATGTAAGAAGTAGAAAGTACAGGTATTTGTGTTCAACATGTAAGAAGTAGAAAGTACAGGTATTTGTGTTCAACATGTAAGAAGTAGAAAGTTCAGGTATTTGTGTTCAACATGTAAGAAGTAGAAAGTACAGGTATTTGGGTTCAAAATGTAAGAAGTAGAAAGTACAGGTATTTGTGTTCAACATGTAAGAAGTAGAAAGTACAGGTATTTGTGTTCAAAATGTAAGAAGTAGAAAGTACAGGTATTTGTGTTCAAAATGTAAGAAGTAGAAAGTACAGGTATTTGTGTTCAACATGTAAGAAGTAGAAAGTACAGGTATTTGTGTTCAAAATGTAAGAAGTAGAAAGTACAGGTATTTGGGTTCAAAATGTAAGAAGTAGAAAGTACAGGTATTTGGGTTCAAAATGTAAGAAGTAGAAAGTACAGGTATTTGGGTTCAAAATGTAAGAAGTAGAAAGTACAGGTATTTGGGTTCAACATGTAAGAAGTAGAAAGTACAGGTATTTGGGTTCAACATGTAAGAAGTAGAAAGTACAGGTATTTGGGTTCAAAATGTAAGAAGTAGAAAGTACAGGTATTTGGGTTCAACATGTAAGAAGTAGAAAGTACAGGTATTTGGGTTCAACATGTAAGAAGTAGAAAGTACAGGTATTTGGGTTCAACATGTAAGAAGTCAAAGTAAAAAGTTGTCCGAAGAATAAGTAGTGGAGTAAAGTACTGACACCAGAAGAATGTACTTAAGTACAGTAACGAAGTATTTGTACTCCACTACTTCCCACCTCTGCCTCTTAGAGCGGGGGTGGGTGATACTGTACCTGAGGGAAGTAGGGGTGGTTTCCTCCTGTCGCTGCCACATGGAGACACAGCAGGATGTTGAAGGGCAGGGTGAAGATTGGGAGGTCCCATTTACCGGCCACTGAGGACAAAGCACTGGAGACCACCGGGCTGTAAACAGGAAGTGGATTACTGATTAGGCGGGAAGGAGAACTATCATAACAATCGGACATTAAAACCCCACCTAAGTGATTGTGTTTACGTTAGGGTGGAGCCTTTGTAAGGATTTGATCACTTGAACAGCTGGAGGATAAGAACATCTGTGAAGGACTGTTTTAAACTGGATTCTATTCTGCAGAAAATGCATGAGATGAATTTTAAAAGAGGACCCTTACCACAACATGCACATGAACACATTTGGCAGCAGAAGCCACCAGTACCAGCTCCCCTTTGCAGAGAAAACAGCCATCAGCATGCCCACCAACGTGCCATTGTAGCCGTGCAGACCTGCAGAGACGGCCCCCCCTGTGGTGATGGGAAAACAAAACACACTTCAATACAAAGCAGTTAGAAGTCGACCTGAAGAGATAAAGCCCAACACACACACACACACACACACACACACACACACACACACACACACACACACACACACACACACACACACACACACACACACACACACACACACACACACACACACACACACACACACACACACACACACACACACACACAACACACACACACACCACACCACACACACACACACACACACACACAATGTACAACAATATCTGTTTTTTCTTACTGCCGATTTTTATTCCATATTTTATTCCATTTCTATGTAAATACTGTTATATTTTTACAATATTTTCATTATTTTAAATATTTTTCTAGTTCTCTATCTGTGTTTTTTAATTTTTGTTTTACTTCAAATTCCTCTGACGTGTCAACCGACCTGGAAATAAAGCTGATTCTGATTCTGAATTGTACTGTTTTATGTTGTTTTATGAAGTTAGATGAGGATAAGATGATGCATTTGGACCTGTTTTGTCCCAGCAGCAGAGCAGATACTGTGGAGATGAAGGTGCCGATCAGAGCGTTCAGAGCCCACCACGGGTTCTGCAAGAAGAGTCCGCCCACGATGAGGAGACCGCTGACCGGGTTGTTCACAAACATCACCTGAGCCACGCCTCTCAGAACCCAGTCCAGCAGCTGGACCACCAGCACCTGTCCTGAGGAGGAGGAGATCATTTCATCAGTGTCTACAGAGGTGGGAAGTAGTGGAGTACAAATACTTCGTTACTGTACTTAAGTACACGTTTCTGGTATCAGTACTTTACTCCACTACTTATTTTTCTGACTTTAACTTTGACTTCTTACATTTTGAACACAAATACCTGTACTTTCTACTTCTTACATGTTGAACACAAATACCTGTACTTTCTACTTCTTACATTTTGAACACAAATACCTGTACTTTCTACTTCTTACATGTTGAACACAAATACCTGTACTTTCTACTTCTTACATTTTGAACACAAATACCTGTACTTTCTACTTCTTACATGTTGAACACAAATACCTGTACTTTCTACTTCTTACGTGTTGAACCCAAATACCTGTACTTTCTACTTCTTACATGTTGAACCCAAATACCTGTACTTTCTACTTCTTACATTTTGAACACAAATACCTGTACTTTCTACTTCTTACATGTTGAACCCAAATACCTGTACTTTCCTGGGAGGTCAGGTACTCTTTAAAACAGCTGCTAGTTATGGGTACTTTCTACTTAAGTACATTTCAAAGCCCTCTTTACTTTGACTTGAGTAAAGAAGTTTAGTCAGTACTTCTACTTTTACCAGAGTATTTTTAAACACGAGTATCTGTACTTCTACTTGAGTAAAGGATGTGTGTACTTTTGCCCTCTCTGCCCTTTTTATGTAAAGAAACCCTTTCTATCATTGAGTAGACTGATGAATATCTCATATTATGACAATAACAGTGCAGAACATCTGATAAACTGCACCATTAACCCAGTTAGTGAATGCAATACCTGCAGGAAGTTGATGTTAAACAAGCAATTTGATCAATTGCATCAGATCTGAGTTTTCCCATAATTTGTATGAACTTTTGATACAATTCTGTACATTTTGTAGTTTTAATTGCCTAAATCACTTACTTTTGACCCACTCCCCACAGAGCCTCATGTCTCCGGTGATCAGCCCCACAGCTCTGAGGAAAGAGGAGCCAGACGGAGCTTCTCCAGGTGAGGGAGGGTCTTTGTTCTCCATGATGTCACTCACTATCATTTTAACAGGGGTGGAAGTAACAGATTACATTAGTATTACACAGGGGCGGACTGGGACTAAAGATCTGCCCTGGAATCTCACCCAACCCGGCCCACGTAAATTGTCAAAGGGGGGGGGAGAGTCTCACTGCGGGGTAACGGTGGACCTCTGTCGCCTGTCAGCGCAACTGGTGCCGGTTGTCAACGGCCCTTGACGACCGGCCGTTTCCAGATTCTACAGTGTGTGTTCTTGTTTGTTTTCAATCATGATTATTGTTTATTAAAGTTTATTTTCTTGATTGTATCCTGATTTGATCTTGCCATATCCACACCAGAGACTGGAGATAAAAGACTATCTTCCTGGTTCTGAAATATTTACAGTAATGTTTGCTTTAATGCATTGTTCCTGTGAAATGTAAGTATTTAGCCTCTTTTCTAACTGTAAAAACAAACAAATAAACCAAGAAAAATAAACAAATAACTTAATTAATAAACTGATAACATTAATAAATAATAATTAAATAAATCTTGAACTTATTAAATACGTTATTGATTAATAAATAATGATTAAATAAGTAAGTAATTAATTAATACATAAATAAACAAATTCATAATTGTGTTGCCAACTTCTACTTTTGACAGTATTTATTTTTAAATCTGTAATTATATGCTTTTTAAATTAAGTATTGTACTTACCTAAGTTGCTTCTGCCAAAGAATAACATTCCCATAAAGTAATAATTTGCAGCTCCTCAATAACAGTGATCTAATGCTAACGCTAACGCTAATGCTACCGCGGCACGTTAAGTGACGCAAATCAAACAAACGTTTTTGCGTCAACAACAGTTGCGCACCGTGTTAGCCAACATGCTAATTAATGCTAACATTCTAACAGTGGACCCTGCAGGTGCTCTGCCTTCAGTGAGGAGGACTGGGTTATTTTACTGGGAGCAACACGTTCACACAGGTGAGTGATGAGTGATGAGTGATGAGTGATGAGTGATGAGTGATGAGTGATGAGTGATGTGTGTGTGTGTGTGTGTGTGTGTGTGTGTGTGTGTCTGTGTGTGTGTCTGTGTGTGTCTGTGTGTGTCTGTGTCTGCAGCTGCGTGGTTGTGTGTTTATGAGTATCAGTTGTATGTACAGGTTGCAATAGTGTGGATCTAAGGCTTCAGCGGGGCATTTTACAACTCTACTTTTGCTTGTAAAGCAGAGGATAATCTGGGTGCAAAGTAAGACACAACTGGCAATGGGGGTGTGTTTGGTCTCCTTTAATCAAACCATCAAGAGGGTCATCTCCTATTGCCTTTAAAAGCATACATCTACGTTTTGATTTATGCAAATTGGTGAAGAAAGCTGTTTAGTGCAACAAGACGAGAGTTGAATGTGAACCTGGCCGCTTTGTAATGTCAATGTGTCCTTTTTTAAAAGCTGAAACATATTGCACCATTGACTTTAAGGGGTTTAGTTGATCAATGCTCAGTCTATTTCTGCTTCATCAAGAGAGCAATGCACCTGACTTAATTGTATTTTAATAACACATCCATAAGTGCAGGAAAGGGTGCAGGTAGCATGCTACTTGCATCACATTTGCATAGGTGTTAAATAGGGTGCTTAGTCTATTTCTACACTTTAGGCAATCCACATCTTTAGGTGTCTTTCCCTTATATTATAATGTGAACCCTGATGTTGTCAGGTATCATCCTCCACACATTCCTTTCTATTCAACAACAGATATATGGTCGCCTCCCTGCACTCAAACTAAGTGTGAAGACGATTCCTTTTCTGGAAACAACTCCAACAGAGGACTCTAAACTTCTCTGTCTGTTTGCAGCATCCTTTTCTACTCTTTTCATCTTAATATTTATGTATTTGAAGGAGTGTTCAGAGCAGATTCCCACAGTTCCCGTGAACAAACGCAGTCTCTGCTGAAAGCCGGCTGTGTTTCTGATGTTTCTGATGTTTCTGTGTTTCTGTGTTTCTGATGTTTCTGTTGTTTCTGTGTTTCTGTTGTTTCTGTTGTTTCTGATGTTTCTGTGTTTCTGAGTCGTGAACCTCTCTGATCCCTCAGCCCTGTCTGCAGCCTCTCTTCTTCTGACTGCAACACATATAGAAGCTGCTGAACTCAACTCTGCAGGAACTTTTTTTGATTGAATGTGTGATAAAACAGTGCCTTATTACCCAGCCATGTAGGTGCCCTGAGGTAACGTACCCTTCTCACTGTTTTATTTAAAAACCAACACGCCGCTCTGCCTCTGCAAACCCTGACTTCTTGACTCATCTGTTTGAGGACTTTGAAAGGGCCCTTGGGGGGGGTTTGCTTTCTCCTCACACTTCTGCAGATGTGCTGCCGTGTGCACACACTTATTCCTCATGGAAATAACACATGCAGGGTTTGTGATTATCTCTAGGATAAATATAGCTTTTATTAAGTGGGGGCAGCACCTTGTTTGATTGTCAGATTGTATGCAAATGTGATTCTCCTTTTAAAAGATACAGATAAAAACTCTTCTTATCCAATCAACCAGTAAATCAATCAGTCAATAGATAACAGAATAGCATTTAAGAGCCAGAGTCAAATGCATTATAGGAAATATATGTCAAAAATATTAATCTGTAAAGAAGTTGGAGATGCAAACTATATCATTCTGATTTATGGCCATTTGATTATTGATCTTTAAATATTCCCAGCATACAGTCAAACAGTACAGAGTGTGTAAATATGCTGACTTTATCAGTTACATTTTTATCATTTGTGACCAAAAGAATATCTAAATGTTGTCAAAGAGCATCTGATTTGAGCCTTTAACATCTCAAATAATGCAAATTAAAGTTGTTTTTCTTACCTCTGAGTGGAGGATTAATCACCGCTCTGATTTCCACCAGCTGAGTTAATGAACACGCACGTAACCTCCAGCTATAAAGGAATGATGTGACGCGGGCTCTTCCTGTCTATATTACAAATCCTTGTCTGTTTTCCAGAGGAACCCCTGCCTGCAGCGCGGAGAGAAGTCTCCCCATTCATCTGTGCAGCTAATCAGGGATAAGACTTCTTATGAGCAAAGTATTTCCTGCTGCAGCAAAACAAAGGCCTTTGGTTCTGGAGATTCACCCTCTGAGCTGAATGCAATGTGCCAATTTCATGAAGGTAGCTTTAGGTTGTTGTGGGAGGTCAGTTTCATGCATTAAAGTGGTGTGATTGACCAGTATGTGTGGCTACATGATATAACATAAACATGATCTGGTTTAACCAGTTAAGCCCCGAGCCTGTTTTTCAGGCCTCAGGCTCGAAAATGACATTCCCAGAACAAATGGCTATAACTTCACTTCTAAAAGAGGTAAATTAATGATCTTTTTTCTCAAAGCAATGATAAACCTGTGAGTTAGATGTAGAAAAGTCAGAATCAATATAGATTGAACATAGTAAAAAAATGTCAATTATTGTGTGGCGGCTGTGGCCGTTTCGGATAAAAGCGTCTAACAAATGACAAAAGTCCGTCCAAAAAAAAACATTACTTATAATGAAAACCACCCTTGAATGATGGGATCGGAGACTAAAAGCTTTAGGAATCCAAACTATAACAAGTACCCTGTAAACAAGTGAAATTTGACCTTTTTAGAGAGATTTAGCACAAAAAAACCCACTTCTGGGGTAATTTGGGTGGATTTGACCTATCTCTGGCCCCCCTCCGTTAGAGCCAATAGAATCGAGGGGAAGTTCCTGAACATCAGCAGGAGAGGACTCTTTAAAGTAGAGACACGACATACTGATATACACCTGAACATCAGCAGGAGAGGACTCTTTAAAGTAGAGACACTACATACTGATATACACCTGAACATCAGCAGAAGAGGACTCTTTAAAGTAGATACACTACATACTGATATACACCTGAACATCAGCAGGAGAGGACTCTTTAAAGTAGAGACACTACATACTGATATACACCTGAACATCAGCAGGAGAGGACTCTTTAAAGTAGAGACACTACATACTGATATACACCTGAACACCAGCAGGAGAGGACTCTTTAAAGTAGAGACACTACATACTGATATACACCTGAACATCAGCAGGAGAGGACTCTTTAAAGTAGAGACACTACATACTGATATACACCTGAACATCAGCAGGAGAGGACTCTTTAAAGTAGAGACACTACATACTGATATACACCTGAACATCAGCAGGAGAGGACTCTTTAAAGTAGAGACACTACATACTGATATACACCTGAACATCAGCAGGAGAGGACTCTTTAAAGTAGAGACACTACATACTGATATACACCTGAACATCAGCAGGAGAGGACTCTTTAAAGTAGAGACACTACATACTGATATACACCTGAACATCAGCAGGAGAGGACTCTTTAAAGTAGAGACACTACATACTGATATACACCTGAACATCAGCAGGAGAGGACTCTTTGAAGTAGAGACACTACATACTGATATACACCTGAACATCAGCAGGAGAGGACTCTTTAAAGTAGAGACACTACATACTGATATACACCTGAACATCAGCAGGAGAGGACTCTTTAAAGTAGAGACACTACATACTGATATACACCTGAACATCAGCAGGAGAGGACTCTTTAAAGTAGAGACACTACATACTGATATACACCTGAACATCAGCAGGAGAGGACTCTTTAAAGTAGAGACACTACATACTGATATACATCTGAACATCAGCAGGAGAGGACTCTTTAAAGTAGAGACGCTACATACTGATATACACCTGAACATCAGCTGGAGAGGACTCTTTAAAGTAGAGACACTACATACTGATATACACCTGAACATCAGCAGGAGAGGACTCTTTAAAGTAGAGACACTACATACTGATATACACCTGAACATCAGCAGGAGAGGACTCTTTAAAGTAGAGACACTACATACTGATATACACCTGAACATCAGCTGGAGAGGACTCTTTAAAGTTGAGACACTTCATACTGATATACACCTGAACATCAGCAGGAGAGGACTCTTTAAAGTAGAGACACTACATACTGATATACACCTGAACATCAGCAGGAGAGGACTCTTTAAAGTAGAGACACTACATACTGATATACATCTGAACATCAGCAGGAGAGGACTCTTTAAAGTAGAGACGCTACATACTGATATACACCTGAACATCAGCTGGAGAGGACTCTTTAAAGTAGAGACACTACATACTGATATACACCTGAACATCAGCAGGAGAGGACTCTTTAAAGTAGAGACACTACATACTGATATACACCTGAACATCAGCAGGAGAGGACTCTTTAAAGTAGAGACACTACATACTGATATACACCTGAACATCAGCAGGAGAGGACTCTTTAAATCACTTTATTTTGACCAGGTTCATGAGAACATAGACATGAAATGATGTTGGAAAGATAAAACATGAGCTTTAGGTTCATCTTCTACAGGAAGTGAGACAAGGAACAGTCTGGAATTTGAATTGTTCAAAACAAAAACAACCTGTTTGCAATCAAAATGTTACAAAACGTTTCTTTCCAGCTGTTTGAACAAGTTTATAATGCTCCCAAAATTAAGCTAAACACATCTGTGTGAGAAAATACTGTTTTTATAAAGAAGTAACCTTTTATTTTGAAAATATATCCATGTGATATGCTGCATTATGTTCATTAAAAACCATTATAACTTACAATGTTCAGCATACCAAGCTCAGCTGGAGTAAGAGATGATTAAACAGTCGATAAAAAGTAGGTAATATGCTCAAACAGTACAAAGAGTTTGGTCATGTATGCACTGAAACTGTACACATCAACACTCTCACACACACATCTACAAACACACACACACACTTAAACTCTCTCTCACATTCACACTGAGGAGCAGTCTTTAGAGATCTGGAGACTGTTGTGTCTTCAGTGCGCGTCTCCGCCGTGCTGAGTGCTGAACTCCTGGAAATCTTCGGGGATTGTGTCTGTGGAAGTGAGAAAAAGTTTAACGAGACGAAATAAAGTCGAGCGAGGACGAACTAATAATATTCACACCTGTTAATGCATCGTCATTAAAATGCTGTCCTACTTTTCAGACACAAGATATGTAGGAGTTTCAGAAGATCTGTATTTAAACAGACGAGTGCTCCATAGCATGCAATCACAGGCATTCAAAATGTAAGTAATACAATATGTGGATTTGTTTATTACCATTGCAGCGGTATTTCAGATTGGACCAGATGATATTTTCCTGAGAGAAACAGAACACTCCGAGTCGTCCTCCTCTCATGGTCGTGTCGATCGTTACTCCAGAGTCCGCCACCAGCTGGGTTCCTTCATAAAACCGCGCCCTAAACAAAAACACAACATGTTTACCTTTTACTCAGAGTTCTAGTTATAATCTGAGCTTTATGGGGGTCTTTAAAACTAACGTTAGGGGCGGAGATCAATATATCAATAACAGCCGGGTAATAACGTAAAGAGCGGGTGATATTTATATACCTTGGAGGTGAAGGGCAGGCATATTGTCATTCAAGAGAGAATACGATTCGTAGTTCTTTTGGAAAACACGTTTTTCTTTTAGCCGATTTACCTCGTTAACGTAAATAATACTCATCACAGTGACACATGCATTATTTGTGATTAAAATAATGGTTGTTGGTAATGTATTAGCGACCCCCACAGATGTATGATTGTACCGCTTTCATAGGAGCTCAGACCCCTCCTTATGGGAGCTCAGACCCCTCCTTATGGGAGCTCAGACCCCTCCTTATAGGAGCTCAGACCCCTCCTTATGGGAGCTCAGACCCCTCCTTATAGGAGCTCAGACCCCTCCTTATAGGAGCTCAGACCCCTCCTTATAGGAGCTCAGACCCTCCTTATGGGAGCTCAGACCCTCCTTATGGGAGCTCAGACCCCTCCTTATAGGAGCTCAGACCCTCCTTATAGGAGCTCAGACCCTCCTTATGGGAGCTCAGACCCTCCTTATGGGAGCTCAGACCCTCCTTATAGGAGCTCAGACCCCTCCTTATAGGAGCTCAGACCCCTCCTTATTGGAGCTCAGACCCCTCCTTATAGGAGCTCAGACCCCTCCTTATGGGAGCTCAGACCCTCCTTATGGGAGCTCAGACCCCTCCTTATAGGAGCTCAGACCCTCCTTATAGGAGCTCAGACCCTCCTTATGGGAGCTCAGACCCTCCTTATGGGAGCTCAGACCCTCCTTATAGGAGCTCAGACCCTCCTTATAGGAGCTCAGACCCTCCTTATGGGAGCTCAGACCCTCCTTATGGGAGCTCAGACCCTCCTTATGGGAGCTCAGACCCTCCTTATGGGAGCTCAGACCCCTCCTTATAGGAGCTCAGACCCTCCTTATAGGAGCTCAGACCCTCCTTATGGGAGCTCAGACCCTCCTTATGGGAGCTCAGACCCCTCCTTATAGGAGCTCAGACCCTCCTTATAGGAGCTCAGACCCTCCTTATGGGAGCTCAGACCCTCCTTATGGGAGCTCAGACCCCTCCTTATAGGAGCTCAGACCCCTCCTTATTGGAGCTCAGACCCCTCCTTATAGGAGCTCAGACCCCTCCTTATTGGAGCTCAGACCCCTCCTTATGGGAGCTCAGACCCCTCCTTATGGGAGCTCAGACCCCTCCTTATAGGAGCTCAGACCCCTCCTTATAGGAGCTCAGACCCCTCCTTATAGGAGCTCAGACCCCTCCTTATAGGAGCTCAGACCCTCCTTATGGGAGCTCAGACCCCTCCTTATGGGAGCTCAGACCCCTCCTTATGGGAGCTCAGACCCTCCTTATGGGAGCTCAGACCCCTCCTTATAGGAGCTCAGACCCCTCCTTATAGGAGCTCAGACCCCTCCTTATAGGAGCTCAGACCCCTCCTTATAGGAGCTCAGACCCTCCTTATGGGAGCTCAGACCCCTCCTTATAGGAGCTCAGACCCCTCCTTATAGGAGCTCAGACCCC